CCCTCCCCGTTAGGTGCCCATGATAGGATTTCTGGTTAGGCTGCGTGAAGTTAGGCTTCGTGTCGGTTTAGGATGGTTTAGTTTTAAGTATTTCTGTGTCTTTTTTTATGCCACAGGGTGCAACTTGACAGGGTTCGGTCGGCACAACAATGAAATCAATGCGAGAGAGAGAGGGATAAAAAGAACTTTGACAGTCTCTCTCTGTGAATAACTCGCATTGGAGGGACGAAGATCCAATAAAGCAAAACTTAATTTTGCTTTCATCCCTCTTTCAATTCAATGTTGAAAGATAAGGAACTGGATCTGTAAGTACCAGGTATATCCAAAATAGACATAAAAATTTATGATGATATGTTATGTTTCTTTGTGTGCATATTCAATTTGATGACATGTTATATTTGTGTGTACTGTGCTGCATATTCAATTTGATGATATATTATGTTTATATGTATGTATTGTGCTGTGTATTCAATTTATAAAATGTTAAAATGAGGAAACGCATAAGGTGAGTCAATAAAATGTGCTCCAGCATCTGCATCAAAGAAGACATCGATTGTCATCATGAAGAATTGCACAAGGTAGGTCAAAATTGCTGCAGCTTCAGCAACGGAGAAGACAACGTTTGTCATCACAATGAAACGCATCAGGTGAGACGATAATATGAGGGTTTTACATTGTTACTTCTCGAGAAACACGTGAATTTGTGACGATTATATTTCACGTGTCAGTAAAAAAAACCGATTGTTGTTGGGTTTTGTGACAAAAACTTAACTGCCATAAAAAGCAACTTCTGCTTAGAAAAAGAATACGTTGTATTCTGTTTCAATTGAATACACTAACGTTGGTTAGTTCTGTAAATAGCCGCTAGGCTGTGCCACACAGGATAAGATTTCATTTTAAATGACGAATTCTTCCATGCGCCGGAACGTCTCCAATTTGACCGGTTCTTGTGTTGTCGTTTTGTGTTAAAAGGGGCCTTTTTCGAAAACGATAAATATGATTTGATATCTCGAGAGAAGTCGTCGTTATGTTGCTTTTTCTTTTTTTACGGCGAGTGCTCAAGACTTGAATGAAAACGGAAAGTTTTACTTCGTTATGTCGTTTATTTTTATTTCTGCACCAAACGGCCTACATTTATCTTTCTGTTTAATTGTGTTGTCCATTTTAATGGGGACAATCGCAGCGAACAAATGGTACACTCAACTGTACGCTTCCACGATCGAAGATATTAAAACTTACAGCATGATGTCTGAAGAATTTTGTGTTTAAAAGAAGACGTGTTACAGAAGAGATGGCAAGAGCACCAACAGCAGAGGTAAGCTTGTGTGTTCATTCGTTAGTGCAATATCCGTTTGCTAGTGTTCATACTGAAGTGTTTTTTTTCGTTTGTTTCTTTTGTTTCAGGTCCCGCTCATATCCTGTGCCTCACCGTGGCGAGCGGGTGAAACAAAGAACGATGCATCTTCACAACTGAAACTATTGTTACAGTTATTCGCAATCTTCCTTGACAATTCCTACATGCCTGTTAGTTTCTTCGTGTTTGTCTGCCAGCCTTTTTTGTTTTTAACAAATTTTGTAATTCAATTCATTTTTAGGTACAAAACTACCAGTTTATATTCAGCTCAGTTCAGTTCAGTATGAACTTAAATACATTACACGTGTACATAGAGCGTGTCCGTGGATAATGCACCAGCACACGCTCTGTTTGGGCACTAATGGCCGACATTTTGAACATCTCCAAAAAGAACGGCCTGACAGCTTTTCTGTACTATAATTTCCCGCTTGTTATTGCCGTTTCCTGATATTCATGTGGGCGAAACAGTTGTTTTGGGGCCGTAGATGATTCTGCAAGATTGAATCCTGTTTTCGTTCCTTCACATTTCGCAAATTTTTTTACAGAGCAGGGTCGTCAAGTGACTGGCCGACCTTAAACATGTTATTTTACTTATGTGTGATGTCAGTCTGCTGTAAACATACACCCCTCCAAAAGATTTTCCAAGGGAAGGGGGCAGGCAACAAAAAGGATTACAAGCACGTTTAAACCGTTTAAGAATGCTTTTGCTAACTTAAAAGATGCTGGTTTATTGACAGTTTCCTTTCTTTCTTCAGTTTTGAGTTTATAAAAGTAAGGGGGCTGTAAATGGCTGTAAATTTAACAGATTATCAAGTTCAGGGCGATAACAGAATTTGGTACAAGAATTTTGGTGGTGCGCAATTAAATAATGTTTATCAATTAATGCTAGTGATTTTCTTGAAATGACCGTGCTTTATGCAAATGTTATATAACGTACTACGTCTGTAGTTTATCCATACTTGTGGCCCTCATGCAGTAAATCGGTTTCTCATTTGAATACTTGATGTACACGTTTCAAAATATATTCAAGTCTTTTCAGTATTGAGGGGCTTAAAATCAGTGGACAGAACTGTAGGGTCACACTTGTATAATATAAGAACATGGATCAAATCTTATCAAAATCTGTCAAAGAACCACAGTTACGTGTAATGCTCACTTTTGCAGTAAGTACCACAACCCTTAAAAATGAAGAAACTACCCCGGAATAAAACAAAATCTTGATAAAATTTTGTGTTGGTCTGTGAAATGCAGTTTGGTTAACATAGGCGAGGCAGTGTGATATTGCAGACAAACAGATGGACATGATGAAACTAACAGGTAGGTCTGAGTGCACCAAAGGTGTGTGACTATCATTCAGTGCTTATTACACTACATTCTGTGGCACATGTAAATGATGTCAAATGTTAATTTTCATCGGTGTGCAGGTGGAAAATGTTATAGAGAATGTCAAAAATTTGCTGAAACAAAGAATACTGTAACAGTGCATGCCACTGACGTGAAATCATATGCTTCGTTTCAAGTCAGTTTTTCAGACCACATGGCTAATAATTTGAAATTATGGGGAATGCATCGTTCTTTGGCCAAACAGGATAAATGCTAAATTTCATTGTTTCTTGGTAAATATATTAGTAGTGCTTCGCCATCGCTATTGAGTGTTCAGCTGTTCAAGAAGTTCTGTCTTTATAGAACCTTAAGGATCCTTATTCATCGCCAAATCCCTCCATTGCATTCCACAAGTCCAGCAAAATTAAATTAATTCTTGCATGACACGTGTCACATGTGCAGTGATGGTGACTCAGTGGCCTTCCACTTCCATAATATGGTGAAGCCAGATCTTTAAGGTAAACACAGAATTGGCTATAAAAAAGTAAATTTTTTGCTGTGCTGAAGTAATTAAGCACTACGCAATTAAGGCGTATGGGAGAGTAGATGTGTAGATCCACGTTTCCTTGACCTTGGCACTAGTCGGAGGTGAATGGTCAGCTTCACTCCCTGGCCGCTTTACCCCCGGGGAAAGAGCCCCCAGTACTCGTTGGATAGGAGGCTGAGTGGACCACAGTGCCGGTCTGCATGACAGAGAAGTTAAACTATATACACACACACACATACATAGTTTTTCCACGATTTCTTGCTCAACCCTAGGGTCCCAAGGAACCCCTCATTGATAAGGGCTGCTATAACAGAAAACTGTTGTTAGAATCAAGGCAGGTAGATGGAAAGAACAAATAACCATTTAAAAGGCTCGATATACTGTTTCTAACTATGGAGTATTTATTGACTCTAAGAATATTTCCAGTCAACAATTTGGAAGCATTTCATAATTATTCAGAATTCCAGGCAGTCAGTACAAGACACAAGCATGAACTAGTTGCAGATATTACAGTCTACCAAATGGGAGTATAGCATGAGGGAACAAAACTTTTTGCCCCATTTTGCACAAAAAATGAAAAGGTTTATAGCCCAGCAGTAAGCAATTCAGAATATTATTAAAGACAGTTCTTGTGATTCAGAACTTCTATGAGTACCTTGCAGATTAAATCCTATTTTGAGCAAGTGCAACTTCACCAGTCATTTGTCAGATCACCACATGGACAACATGCTTCAGCCACATGGTGATTAAATTAGTGCAGCAAAATGCTAAAATACAATTTCTAATAAGTTTTGACTGTATGTAAACATGTGTCTGATTGTAACAAATTTCTGTACCTATATTTGCATGTGTGGACTGTGTCCAAGTGTGTTGTTGCCCATACTGCTAAGAAATGTTAGGCTAACAGCAGTTCATAAACTTGTATGTACTTGCTGTCTCTGAACATAAGCAAAATTTCTATGCAGTTACTCATAATATGGCTGTGTGATTGAATCTGTTGCGTTTCCAAATGTGTCGTCCTGTATTCTAACATAGCCCCATACCCTTTGTCTAGAGCTGGTGGGATACAGATGTGTCTGCCTGCCTATCTCACAGGCAACGATGATTTTCAGAAACTTGGACTCAACTCATTGTGTCTTGTCTTGTCTGTTCATTGTAAAGCAGAATGGCTGTGCAAGGAGGTCTGATGTTTTTGAGGACCCAAACAAAATTCTCTCTCAGCCGTCTGTGTTCACTAGCTTTAGTTTCAGAATTAATCAGGGAGAGATGGCAGAATGTTACTGGGATAGAGGAAAAGCATTAGAATTTAAGGGAAGAGGTTTCATGTTGTGGTAAAATAACAAGTATGGGGACATTTTTAATAGTAATGTGGAGAAAACCTGAACAATATAATATGTGAAACACAGCAGGCATTTCAGGAATAAAAAGGGGGAATATCTGAAAGACAAAATTGATGAGCTTGTATCGAACAATAACTCTCACTCACTCATAGAGCTGAGCCCTTCTTGAGAAGCCACCAATTGTGCAGCTACTCAAAAACTTACCAGCATTTTATGTCACATGAAGGTTCATTACGATGTTCACAAGAGCCCTCCACTGGTCCCTATCCTGAGCCAGATCAATCCAATCCATAACATCCCATTCTATTTCTCTAAGATCCATTTTAATATTGTCCACCCACCTATGTCTTGGTCTTCCCAATAGTGTCTTTCCTTCTGGCTTTCCCACTAATATCCTATATGCATTTCTTCTCTCCACCATTTGTGCTACATGCCCTGCCCACCTGATGATAGCTCTATTCAGTAATATGTGTTCAACTCAGGCTGATAACAATTCTAGGAAATAGCGGTAGGTAGCGGTATCTACCCTGAGTTGAACAGATATCAATGAATGGAGCAGTGCAAATTGAGGAAACGGCAACGTAACTCGTGGAGAGACTGAGAAACACAACTTCCAGGCAACGGAGCATTCGGAGCGATTCGGTGTGTCCTGCACGATCCTGCGCAAGTGTCGGCCAATAAGCAGGCGAAGGTGTTCTTTCGATAATTAGGAGAAAGAAAGTGTTGTATAACTGCAATTGTTATCGAATATATGGGAGATTAAGCACGACATTCTAGCTTGTTAATGTTTACACTTTTAATTTCGTAGATTGTAGTAATGTTATTGATCATGGAGGTTCATGCGCAGGAATTGTGTGGGGCAGCTGTAAAAATTATAATTCTGTAATCCGCGTTACAGTGGTAGCGTTCAAGGTTTAAGGTTATGTAGTAAAATATCATGTAACTATTTCAAACTTTTATTAGGACGGACTGCTGACACTGGTAGACATAGGTAAAACATTGACCTAATAGGTTATAGTTTATATTGTATTGAGTAATGCGCCTTTACGTCGAAATGAAATGTCGTTGATTATTTAGATGTGTTTTGTGTTATTGGAGTGAATCGGAGAACTGCTCAGAATGCGTGGAACATCCAGAAGATGCTAATCGGATACAGTGTACTTATTATTATATTTGATCAAATGCTTCTGATAAAGGAAACTTGGGTGTGTGCATATATAAGAGTAGTTATTTTATTATAATACTAAAATGACGTGAGGTGGGATAGCGTAGACGGTGGAGGGGTCGGGGTTCGAGTCCCGGCGAGGGCAAGATTTTTTATGCTCCCCACGTTTACCAGACCGGTTCTGGGGCAACACAGCTTCGTATCAAATGGGTATGGGGGGGGGGCTCTATCCCTTGGAGTAAAGCGACTGGGGCTTGAAGCTGACCATTCACCTCCAACTAGCACTGAGGTCAAGAATACATGGATATATACATTCACTCCCACATGCTGCTTCATGCTGTGGTTCTTAATTAGTTAAGCACAGACAAATTTACCTTACCTTTACTAAAATGATGTAATAAAGTGGGAGTATGAGATTTAAGCTTGGCTGAAGCTGCAACTCTTGTGACTTGCATTTGGGAGATGATTCAAATGTCAGCTGAGATACTGGCTGTCATAACAGGTTTTATGTCATTTTCTTCAGTCCCTCCAACAAAATGCTGAGACGGTACTTTGTATTGGTCTGCGACTCCTGTCTTTCCAATCTGTTATTAACTGTTAATTTCTTATATGTTACTATATAATTGGAACTGCCAACCATTAATATAAAAGAAGGTAAAGTTGAGACATGGGAATGGAGGTATAGCTCCACAATTTGTGACTGTGGTAGTAGGTAGAGGTGAGTGGTCAGCTGCACAGCCTGGCTGCTTTACTCCCAGGGAAATATCCCATGGTACCCGTTGGATAGAAGGCTGGTTTGGCCCCAGAGCCAGTCTTGATGCTGTGGCATAGAGAATAATATCTTACCCCTTCCAGGAATTGTACCCCAGCCATTCAGCCTACAGCCCACTCCTATACTAGCTGAGCCATACAAGTAAATAAATAATTATTTAACTGGAACAACTGGAAGCAACTCCCATTTTCCATAGTTCCTTCTTAACAAATTTTCTTATGACATTCTTGTTCTGAAATGTATCAACAATTACAGTTCCATTTTTATTGTCGTGTATTCGTGTTTTAGGCCCAATTTTAATGTGATAACAACATTCAGCTATTAAGTAAAGTANGGTGAGTGGTCAGCTGCACAGCCTGGCTGCTTTACTCCCAGGGAAAGAGCCCATGGTGCCCATTGGATAGAAGGCTGGTTTGGCCCCAGAGCCAGTCTTGATGCTGTGGCGTAGAGAATAATATCTTACCCCTTCCAGGAATTGTACCCCAGCCATTCAGCCTACAGCCCACTCCTATACTAGCTGAGCCATACAAGTAAATAAATAATTATTTAACTGGAACAACTGGAAGCAACTCCCATTTTCCATAGTTCCTTCTTAACAAATTTTCTTATGACATTCTTGTTCTGAAATGTATCAACAATTACAGTTCCATTTTTATTGTCGTGTATTCGTGTTTTAGGCCCAATTTTAATGTGATAACAACATTCAGCTATTAAGTAAAGTAAATTCCCAATGAGGTCATTGGATTTTTCAATTGACTTAATCCTTCCAGCCGCGCTGTGGCCCTGGGGTTGTCTCAGCCTCTAACAGAAATGAGTGCCAGGAATCTTTTGGGGGTAAAGGGTGGCCGGTGCGTAAGGCTGACAGGCTCACTGCCATCTGTGAACCCTAAGTCTACATGACACAGTGTCATAAATATCATACTCGAACTTGTTATATACATGCCATTTTGGCATATCTACAGAATAATTTACTATTTCATTCTTATCATATGGCTTAATGTTGAACTCAGCTGTCTTTTCATACTTATTATATAAGGGATTTGATAAGGGTTATCTTTGTTATCAAGGAAAGACAGATATTTAAGAATGGCTGTTACCGATAACTCCACCTCCTACTGGTCCACTTAGAGCCATCATTTATCCATGTCACTCTGTCCTTGGAAAATGATGTAAGGGCCAGTATTCTTTTCACACTTCTCATGGTTGTGGGTTCAGTCAGGATTCCGGTCCTATCATCTCTCACCCAACACCTGTATCACTTATTTCCACACTTGGCTTACTTTTTTACCCTGAACACAGAGGCAGGAGTCTGCCAAATTACAGTGTCACATCCCAGGAAGTAATACCATTCATAGTCTTCCGTGTGATAACCTCACATCTTTCGTTACAGTCTTTGTATCTTGTCTTATGCTCAAGGTGTGGTGGGATGGTAGGGGAAAGTACCACTTCTCCAGGTCTTGTGCTTAAAAAGTTAAAACAAATGTGACTAGTCTTCAGCTAGCATGAGGGGTCCTTTATCCAGTATGACCAGTAAAACAAGCAGCTTGAAGGCGTTACTTCTACGAGCCTGGCGGGAGCGTTGGTCCGACCTACAGTGGGGCATCCACATCAAAACAGTGAGTTCATAATTCATAATTCATAATTTATTTACATCCATAAACTGTTATACAAGTACAATTGGACAAGTCAGTTTAAGCCATCTAAAACACTACAAGTCAACAACTCTTAAAAATGTACGGAATGATACACAAGACTACAAACAATACAATAATCTTATGATCATTGTACCCCTGCTGAAGCTAGCAACTCTGATGTAGGATTGACTGAAATTGCATTGAAGTATTCAATGTGTATGTTCAGGGAGAGTTCTGTGCTTCAAATGAGTCACAAGATTTTAATTTAAAAGAACGATTAACCATGTGAAGCACTGTGATAACTCTGTCACCTGCTTTGACATTGAACACTCTTTCATTTTGCCATCAGAATGTTTTGTGGGTTTTATATGATTTTCATTAAACTGGCTGGTCAAGCGATAATGCTGTAGACTTGTGTTGATGTGGTGCTTGGTTTGAATCTTGGCTGGGACACCAGCTGTCGTGACTGAGCTTGACAAATGCCGAGATAGTACTTCAGTTAGACCACAGTAACTTTCCTTTCTTATTTGTTATTCAAATCGTCAATTATAATTGACGATAAATGAATGAATGAATAATTATTCATTCATTCATTTATTTTACATTCCATAGATCCACAGTACAACAAGTAGGATATGGAACACATCAAGTGGTACATATATAAAAGACAAATAAGCCAAAAAATAGAATAAAATAAAATGATGACAAAAATATAAAAAGTTCTATTACTAATAGTTTTAAGACTTTGTGACAATAAACATAATTTATTAAATTATATATATAAATTCTTTGGTATGTCATTGACTTGCAATAGCCTTAAATTGAAGATATTCATCAATGGAATAAAAATAATGTGTATAAAGAAAATGTTTTAGACAGGCTTCAAATTTCCTTGGATTATGAGATATATCTTTTATATGTGGAGGAAGATTGTTAAATACCCTAATACCCTTAAATACCCTAATACCCATACAGTACACTTCCTTTTGGTAAACTGTAAAATTTACTGTAGGCAGATAAAAATTATTTGATTGTCTTGTACCTGTATTATGCTTTTCTGAATTTAAAATAAAGAGATCCTTGTTATTGACCACAAACAACATGAGTGAAAAAATATATTGTGATAAAATTTCCAACTTCCTAAACAAATTCCTGCACGAAGCCCTGCTTCTACAGCCCATCATAATTCTTATTATTTTTTGCATTCTAAATATTTTTAAACTGTGGGGCGAATTTCCCCAGAACATTAAGCCACAGCTTATGATCGAATTAAAATACGAATAATACATAATTTTCAGAACATTGAAAGACATATATGACTTAATACACCTGATATTATAACATACCGAACTCAGTTTTGGGATAATACATTCAATATGACCTCTCCAGTTCAATGAATCATTGATTGATTGATTGATTTATTTAACATCCATAACTGTTACATTATGTACAATTGGACAAGTCAGTTTTTAAAAAAATATATGAGATTAAACATCACATCAAATGACTAATAATATAACAAACCATAGAAAAATAACATAATAAGTCCTTTAAATATGATAAAACAGTGGATAAGTATAATAAGGCAACAAAAGCTAAACTATAAATTACATGCAATAGCTAAAATAAATTACCTAAGTATCTTTGTTCTATTATTAAGCTAATTCTTGTAAAAATATTCTTGAAGGGAATAAAAAGCTTTGCACAACAAGTAATCCTTTAATTGACGCTTAAAAACCTTGAACTCTTGAATACTTCTTATTTGAGAGGGCAAGTTATTATACAATCTTATTCCCATGTTAATCACACTCCTTTTACAACGTGAGGTGTTACATGGTTGGACATACAAATTCTGCTTATGTACTGTGTTATAACCGTGCACATCTGAATACGAGATGTTATATATCCTATTTTTCCTTAAAAAACACAACGTCTCAAAGATATACAGTGAAGTTAAGGTTAAAATTTTAAATTCACCAAAAAATTCTCTACACGATATCCTGTTATTGACTCTTTTGATCAGTCTTAAACATTTTTTTTTGGATTTTAAATACAGTTTGAATGTCCTTTTGACCACAGCCCCAAAAAATAATACCATATCTCAATAAAGATTCAAATTTCGCAAAATACACACTTCTCAAAATTGGAAGACTGACCAAATCTCGTAAGGATTTGATAAGATAGATGGTTTTGTTTAATTTTTGAACTAAATGGTGAATGTGAGAGGACCAACTTAAATTCTCTGTAATATATATACCTAAAAATTTTAAATTAGCTGTGTATGTTATTTTCTTATTATTCAAATAAAGTTCCGGTTTATCAATTTGACGGGGACCACGTCCCTGAAAAAAGAGTGCTTTTGTCTTTTCAATATTAATAATAAGATGATTTACCGCGAACCAATTTTCTAATTGATGCATAGAAACTATAGTTTTATCATTTAAAGATTTAAGATTTTTGTCAATAATTAGTATATTGGTGTCATCTGCAAATAAAACAACTTTCGCTTCATGAACAGCTTTAGGCAAATCGTTTATAAACATTAAAAACAAAAGAGGTCCCAGAACCGAACCCTGAGGAACACCGTACTTTATTTCCTTACACGAAGAGGAGAATGATTTTTGATTTGGAGACTTGGCATCAACATGGTCAATTTCTACAAACTGGGATCTACCCGTAAGATATGATCTCATCAAAGAGAGTGAAATTCCTCTAAACCCATAAAGTTCCAATTTAGCCAACAGTAATTTGTGGTTTATCACATCGAAAGCCTTGGAAAGATCCAAAAAAATACCCAAAGCAAAAAACTTATTGTCTAATGCTTTCTGAACATCCTCAATAAATGATTGCAGTGCTGTATGAGTTGATTTATTTTGTCTAAAGCCATTTTGGGCATCAGATATCAAATTATGTTTATTTAAGAAATTCACTACTCTGTTATATATTAATGTTTCAAAGATTTTAGAAAAAACAGGTAATAGTGAAATAGGTCTATAATTAGATAATTCTTGAATTCGTCCTCTCTTATGAATAGGGCGAACTTTGGCAATCTTCATCTGATCAGGAAAAATTCCAGTACAAAGAGACAAATTAAAAATAAATGTTAAAGGTTTACAAATAGGTTGAATACTAAATTTTACTAACTTTTCTGGGATTTCGTCATAGCCCGCGGAGAGTTTACCTTTTAGTTTACTAGTCACACTAAGTACCTCATTTTCTGTAATTGGTACGAAAAAAATCGATTTAGAAAATGGAGTAACTTTACATGCTTGGTCATACTTAGGTTTTTGATCATTTAATTGGTTTACCATTTTTCCTGCAATTTCAACAAAAAAAGAATTAAAATGACCGGGAGTGAGGAGGGGGTCTAAGTCAGTCATGGAGTCCACATCCGAGGTTTTATAATTTATTTTAAAAGCTTTCCCTGATTCAAAGTTTATAATTTGCCATAACGCTTTAGAGCGGTTTGTTGATTTTTGGATGAATCTGTCATTTTCTTTTTTACGAGCATCTGCTAACACGTTCTTATAAATTTTTTGATACTTTTTTATATAGTTCAAAGAATGCCTAGGAAGAATCAACTTTTTCTTTAAGTAACATAGAAATTGAAGCCGCTGTCTAGAAACTTTTATCCCTTTAGTAATCCATCTGGATTTGATGTTTTTTACATTTACAACTTTTTTTATATGAAACATATTCAAGAAAAGGTCCCGATACTTGTCTAAAAAAAGACTATAAGCTTTGTTTACATCAGTTTGGTGATAAACCTCGTCCCATACTTCCCTTGTTAACCTCAAGTTAAATAAGTCGATATTTCTTTTAGAGAAAACTCTTCTTTTGGTTTTTTCAGAGAAAGGAACATGAGAATTTTCTACAACTATGTTCATAATTAGCGCAAAATGATCCGAGTAGCCCATTTCGACAACATTTGTTGAAGTAGGATAAAATACTTTATTTCTAATCATTACATCAATTAGAGAACACGAGTTAGATGAAACTCTCGTAGGAGATTGAACCGTATTTAATAAGTTATTTGAGAGCAACAGATTTAATAGAGTCTTTTGAAGTGAATTCTTTTGGAGTAAGTTTATATTCCAGTCCCCACATATTACTAACAAGCAACCTTTGTTTAGTACCCTATTTATAGCCTCATCTATTTGATTGAAGAACATTTTTACGTCAGTATTTGGAGATCTGTATACACAGATTACAATGATTTTAAATTTCACTATTTCAATAGCTGATTTTTCCAGCGTTTTTTCTCTACCAAAGTTTTTTAATGGAGAAACCTCTCTGATCTTAATTGATTTGGAAACAAATATACAAGAACCACCATGCTTATCATTTATTCTACAAAAACTATCCGCAAGTTTATATTGATCAATATTTAGATGCAAGATTTGATCACTTAAAAGCCAGTGCTCCGAAAAGCATAAAATATCTGGCTTTTTGGGCCATTGCGAGAGCAGTGCATTTAATTCTAGTAATTTGTTGCTCAGACTTTGTACATTGTGATGAAGAATACTCAAATACTGAGTTAAATTTGAACTTTCTTTATATTTATTCCAAGGGTCTTAATATTAGACACAGTTGTTATTGGTTGATTGTTATAAACGATATTTACATCAATTGTGGATTTATTTTTAGTTTTAAAATGAATACAATGAGTTTTGTTAACATTTATTGAAAGTAAATTTGTCTTGAACCATTTATTTACGCAAGTGAAGGTGTTAGACATCTTATTTTGAAAGTCCCCTAAGCTAGAACCTTTGACTAATATGCTTGTATCATCAGCAAACAAAATAGGTATAGCATTACCGTCTACAATTTTGGGCAAATAATTGATATAAATAAGGAACAACAAAGGTCCCAGAACTGATCCCTGGGGAACACCATCAGTTATCTTTTCCCATGTAGAAAGATTTATTAGATTTGATTCCTCATTAGAAACCTGAGTTCTCTGATATCTGCTATTAAGATATGAGTGGTATATAAATTTAGCAACTGAAACTGTTGTTCAAGAATAAATATGAAGGCAAATAAAAATTGCTTGAACATCTGTTGTTATCTTTGAGTGTGTAGTTTCATAAATATCAGTTGTTATAAAATTAACTTTTTTTTTTTTCATTCTGACATTTTGGAGTTTCATTTTCTGCCAGTTGAACCAGTAGAATGATTATTAAAGAAAGTAAAATGTATGATCACTGTTACTCCCTGCTCATCCCAATTCTTGATCATTCTGGAGCTCTTCATAATCTTCAAAACCTTGTAGCAAACATGTTGGGAAAGTATAAACATGGACATGTAGACAGAAATGTATAAAGTGAAAAGCTTGGAGCCAAAATAGCAGCTGTATAAATTCATAGCCATTGTTCATAACTTGCAGTAGTGATTGTGNATTTGTGTAGTGTTACAGGAAAGAAGGTTAAGCCATATAGCTCTTGGGGAGATAAGAAATAACATTAGATATTTATGCACTAATATATGAACTTCATGGGGCGCATGCGGTAATGTAATTAGTTGAGACACTATGCTACAAGCCGGAGGGTCATGGGATTGAATCCTGATGAGGTGGATTTTTTTCGATTGACCTAATCCTTCCAGCTGTACTATGGCCCTGGGGTCGACTCAGTCTCTAACAGAAATGAGTACCAGAAATTTTGGGGTGTAAAGGGCAGGTGGCGCATAAGGCTGACAACCTTACTGTCATCTGTCAATTGTCTAGAAAATGTGGAAGCCTCGACATATGACAACCCTATGGGACTTCACGGCCTGTTGCAGGGATAGCTTACCTTTTTTTTGTGTGTCCTTCATTGTGTCACTAAATTGAAAGTATTATATTATGCTTAAAGACATAATGCGGTTTTCATTTTATCCTTTTAATAAAGAGAATTTTGTGATGCACTTATCTTATTTTCATTAATTTTTTATGTAACTAGCTTTTTCATAACACAGATTTATGGTTGCATTGCAAGTTATACCACATATAAGTTGTTTTTCTTCTCTGATTTTAGATTTTACCACGAGGGGTCAGTGGTGATGTATACAACCTGGCTGACTGCATCCTTCAGCAAGCTCTGGTTGGCCCTGGACCAAACCAGCTGGTTGTGTCATATCTCAAACATTCGCTTAGTTCACAGGTAATAAAATAGTTTAGGTCTTTTGATTTGTATGAACGGTGATATTGATGTAATTTATTTTCAGCTTTATGCGTTAAAATTAATTTGTTGGATTCAGAGTGCTTGCAGCAGACTACTGTCTTCTGAAATGTTATGCCTTGTAGTCTGGTGGAAATTCACTGACATTTCAGAGAAGTATACTGTTTCCTTCTTCAGTGATAAAGTGTAAGCCAAGCAATCAACCAGCAAGAAGCAAGCATGCCAGTTGGTGGTTGCTTCCTTGGTTTATTCTTCCCTGCAGATGGAGGCAGTAAGTTAAGCTGAAACATCAGTGAAATTCTCTTAGACCACATGGTGTCGCATCCAAAAAGACAGTTATTTTTATAAATAAGTTCTTTTCTTGAGAGATGAGGTTCTCATGATGGTAAGTGTGCAGATTGCTGGTTTATCAGTGTGGTTGAGTCATTACACACAGAAACATTTTCCGTTTTTAATGTTAAAAACAGGCATTTTTGTGTAAGATTACTGGGTCTTTGAAAGTGTTGGATGATGCTATAGCTGAATTTTTCATATCCATAGAACCATAACAAAACTTTCCAGATTTGAATCCATGTTGGGACAAATTTAAGCAGTTGGTGTAGAAATACCAGACAGGAAAGTTGTACATGAAGCACTGAAAGTGTGTGGCCTTTCATATCACAAGTTAACACCCAGTCAGTCATGAACCAGTAGTGAGCATTATTTTTGGTGAAAGTGTGATTAATTCTAAACAATAGTTCCATTTTTGACATTCAGATTACAAAATATTTTTATACATAATGAATCAGCTGAACTGGAAAAAAAAAACTGTTGGTGCATGTGGATATGTCTTATGCAATGTACATGAGTTTCATTGAGATCTGTGGAGTTATTCATTTTTACTTTTCCTATATGAACCATAATTTGTTAGTGCCACCTGATATGAGAAATAAATAAATAAGACTCTTCACTGAAAATGTACACTCCTGGGGTTCTACATCAGTTTTCCAGACAGTATATTTGCATGTTTCTGTGCCTGCTTCATGATATGAATTTTTCCAGCTTGTGTCATATGCAGCCGTCTTGCAGCGAATCAGTAAATATGATGGATTCCATAAACCTCACTGCATTATCAGTCTTCTTGAATTTCTTGAAGCCATCCAGGTATGTAACTTCAGGTTCCAGTGACATCTTAGTCGTGATATTCAGAATAAAGCGAAGTTGGAGATGCAAGTGTCTCGAGTATAATATAACCACGTCCTAAAATGATAAAAATATTGCTGTCAGCCTTATAAAACTGGCAGATATATTATCTCTTATTTGCAGATGATAAATTATTATTCCCAAATTAAAATACAGACACCTCCCTGCAGCACCCAGAGATTTAAAATCCCTGTTGGCACTAACTTAGCTGACAAGTGGCGGTCGCTCGGCTGGTATAGTTTGCTTGCAGACTAAAACCACGCAGTATGTTTCTTTGTTTGTTCCTAAAAGTAATGTTTAAGCTGTAGGCTCCTTCTTTTTTAGATGTTCGAAACCCATATGAAGTACTGGATGTTCTTGTTTATTGTGGTTTATATTACAGTGCTGCAGGTATCATATGTAGGATGATTAATAATCGATAAATTGAAAAGGACTTGGAAGGAAGCAGTCTTCTAACTGAGGTGTGTTCCCAGCATTTTCCTGGAGAGGCTGGAAAAAATTGCATGANTTATTATTATTATTATTATTATTATTATTATTATTATTATTTTTGGATGGGGTGGGTTTCCCCATGCACTGCGACCAGTTATTGATCTATTGTGCATCCCCCTTTAATTTCTACTGTCATCATGCCCTCCCAGTACTGGTGCTCGCTATCAGCCCTGTTCTGCCAGCGAGGTTGGCCACCTCTCTGGCAGTGGTCCCTGATACTTCCCCATCTACCAGAGGAATTGGAAACTACTTGGGTGGGAAACTTGCCTAATTTTGCTCAGAGGTCTCCTTGAGACATGAGGATCTTTTACGTGCTGTAAATCTACAACACGGGACACACGGTTTGAAGTCCCTCCTGGAGGACTTGTTCCGTGAATTTTTCCGCCCTTAAAAATTCCATGACCTCCGCCGGGTTTGAACCCACGTACCTTTAGTCATGAGGTGGGAACGTTACCCCTAGACTACGGAGGCTGCTATGAAGCCAATTACTGTATCTGGTGTCCTGTGCGAGATAGATACAAGGAACCTCCCATTAACAAGCCCAGAGTGTCATTTTTTGCACCACCTTGCTTGCAAAGTCCTTTCTATCGAGTATTGTCACCTCTGCTGGAGGTAAATGCAGTCCTGTTACACCAGTGCTCATCTTCTCGTAAGTGCATTCTTTCACCAGGAAGATCAACAGGAGACATCAGCAGAAAACATTTTACTGTATGTTGGAATAGAAGTGTTTATTCTCTTGTTCTGTACAGGGAGGTATAACATGCCGAGGAAAACCAGAGGAAGGTTTGCTGGCAGCATCAGTTTTGTCTATAGTCCAGTGGCTTTTAACCTGCATGCAGCATGCCCTTAAGAATATGCCTGAACTCCGGAATGGCAACATTGAACTCACCTCCATGCTGGATAAACCGGCTGTTATCTTGACAGAGATACTCAAGTGCGACTTCCTCGTCGCCATGTTATATCTTGCCAAGCATGAGTGCAGAGGTATGAGGCATTCTGTTGCATTACTGTATGGTGGAATAGATTATTAAATGAAGACATTTGTACGAGGGTAAGTGAATAAGTAAGTTATAAATGGATGCATCAATGCAGTGGAAATATCCTGCGTCGCCTAGAGGCTGGAATGCCGTGAGCAGTATGCCTTTGTGATCCCAGAAGACTGTGAGCATCACATTCCTGGAGGATGGTGTCACCTTAAATTTTTTTTTTTGGCAGGCGACTCAGGATGTTTCCACTGCATTGACGTGCGCTTTGTCTCAGGCTGGTAATGGTGAACCCAAGACTCATCACCTGTGACGTTTCGGGCTAGCATATCGTGTCCTTCATTGTGGTAGTGATTAAGATGCTGTAATGCCAGACCCATTCTTTGCATTTTCTGTTGTGGGGTCAGCATGCGCGGGACGCATCGTGCACAGACTTTGTGAAAACCTAACCTGTCATGCATTATGAGGTGGGCCATGCCGTGTGAATACGTCTGGTTCCGACAGCAGCCAAAAGAATTTTAAGCTGCTGGTTTTCAGGGGCTTGTGAAATGATGAGACAAGTGCCTCGATGTACAGGGAGATTATGTTGAGAAATAAAAGCATTCTTCAAATCAGTACTCTTATTTGTTTAAGTTTTATATCCATTTGTGACCTATTGACTTACCTACGTATTTCAGTCATGAAAATTAAGGTTATGGTCTTTTGGGTTGTGACACCTTGTAGTCTAATAGGTAGATATGGACATTTTGGAGGATCGTGCTATTTCCGTCTTCACAGTCAAAGTAAGGAATTGATTGGGTTATGTAAGCAGTTTGCAAAGAAGATGGTAACTGACATCCAGGGAAGAGGAAGACTGGGTCAGTATAAATAGTGAACATTGGTGCTAACCGTGTATACTGGCCTTGGTCAGATTCTCTCCCCTCCCCCTCCCCATCTCCCTCTCTCTCTCCCATGGATCACAGTAATCTCTTCCTTTGCAACTTGCTTATGTGACCCTGCACCCTGTCCATTTCAACACTGAAGACGGAGGCAGCAGGTTCATCTGAAACATTGATATCCACCTGCTAGTCTGTATGGTATCACAACCCAGAATACTTTGAGCAGTCACTGCCTCAAAACTTATACACTTGGTCGTCGACGACCGGCCTCACTTGCGACCACAAAAAAATGAAAAATAAAAGATGATTAAAATGTAAAAGTTTTTAAAAATAAATTATAAAGATGACGTGTCTGTGATGAAATTAATCTGAGCCTGGCTCCCAATTCAAGCTCACTGAGCCAGACTCGTACGTGTATGGGCCCCTTAAGCTGCAAGGAGAGAAGATTGCTGTAGCAAGTTGAGGTTATGAACTCTTGCTTTTTATCAGTAGCGGTATTTTTTAATGAGATTGAATCCATGTACAACTGTTTCATTTCACAGATATATACCATGAAGTTGTCAAGAAATGTCACGAGCTGGAAGCATTGTTGAGTCAGAATTCATTCCAGCCCAGTGTTCCTATTGGAGATTCAATGAGGTATTATAAAGAGGGTGTGGATTAGATGAGATTAAATGAAATTGATAAAGAATACCTGTCAATGAACTCTGACCAGTTTTGGTATGTTATACATCACCTTCCTGAATTCTTGCTTTGAACAGATGCATGAATTTGCCATCCGCAGACCCTCAGTTATGTAACACATGCATAAACTTCTTATTCCAGAACATGATGACTGTAATATGTCTAATGTTGTGGCATTCCTTAATCGTATCAGCGTAGCTAGTAGTATTTCAGCTGGTGCACACACCCACAAACAGTTCATGTGTACTGGCAGACTTGTCCCCCCCCCCTAGCACTACAGCCCCAGTGGGCCTAGGCCTACCGCCATGAACTTCTCTGTTCACTTTTATTGTTCCTTGCATCCTGTTGTGTACTAGACGAATGTTAAAGTTAATCTACCGACCACACAACACGTTTTTTATTTACTGCCACACTACATGTTTCGACCTCAGGAGGTCATCATCAGGTGTACGAACACAATTTNAGTAGCCATCACGACAAGGAACGTAACAGATCCCACATCAGAGGACGCCGAAGAACGACAAGACCTTCAAAAAGTGAAAGGGCAGTCAATGTGACGAGTGAAGTTTATTTTTCACGAACTTTCTAAACAAGTGATAATAACGTAACTGGCTACAGGGAACTGAATTTTGAATTTTAAATCTTAATTTTTGACATTGGTATTTTTAACTTGTATTTTATAAGAAGAGCTTTTTAACTTATATATTTTTAACTTATATGGTATAAGAAGAACTTATACATATTATTTGAGCGTGAATCTGAACAGGATACAGGATGGAAATTAGTGGAGAAAGGAAGTGATTGCGTGTGATTGTGAAATTGTGTTCGTACACCTGATGATGACCTCCTGAGGTCGAAACATGTAGTGTGGCAGTAAATAAAAAACGTGTTATGTGGTCGGTAGATTAACTTTAACATTCTCTGTTCACTTCGGTTTTCTAGATCTTACACATTCAGTAGGACTCCTTGGGCGGGTGATCAGCTCGTCGCAAGGCCTCTACCTGTACACAAACACAGAAAAATGCACACAGACAAACTAAACATCCATGCCCTGAGTGGGATTCGAACCCACGATCCTGGTTTCCAAGCGAGTGAAGACAGTACATGCCTTAGAACGCTCGGCTACCGGTACTGGCGGCAAATTTGTCAGTAGTTGCAGTTTTCTGGTGCATTATATGTTATGATCTTGAAGCTAAAGGAGAGCGTGCGGATACTGATAAACATAAAGAAAAGGTAAAGCTATCCCTATAACAGGCTGTGGAGGCCCATAGGGTTCTGAGATGTCAAGGCTGTCACATTTTCTAGACGGTTGGCTCCCAGATGGCGGTGAGGATGTGAGCCTTATGCGCCAGCTGCACTTTACCCCCAGGAAGATTTCTGGTACTCATTTCTGTTAGAGGCTGAGTCGACCCCAGGGCCATAATGTGGCTGGAAGGATTAGGTAAATTGAAAAATCCAGTGAACTCATTAGGAATTGAGCCCACAACCTTCTGGCTTGTAGCATAGTGCCTCAACCAACTGCATTACTGTGTGTCCCACACTATCTTCAGAAAAATAAATGCTTAGAGTTTACTAAGTCTCTTTAACTGACACTGTTCAGATCTTCTGACAGGTATGTATTTTGCATTGTAGTTTGAGGATCTTATGGTCGCATAGAGCATATCATTTTGTCACTTTTTTTTAAATCCACCATGTAACATTTTTGATTTTACATTTTTACCTACTATTAGATAGGCCCCTCTAAAGTCTGGGAAATGCATAATTTTAATCTTGTACTTTTTTTAATAATTGATGTTTTAACTTGAGGTTTATCCAGGCACAAATAGCCACAGGTGGTGACATGGCTTTAAACCTCCTTTCACAGAATTATTCCCTTGTCTCTGAGGTCTTCCAAGACTTGACTTGTTTGGCTTTGGATCCGTGGAATGCATGCACAGTGGGACAACCATTTAATGTTCCTAGATTTAAGCTTCTGCTTCGTTTAATATTCAGTTTCAATGATCCCAAGTCAGTAATCTCATTGTTAAATTACCTCCATTATAGATTTTCCTCAGTTTAGTGTTCACATATACTGCTTCCAGAAGGAAGCTTAAATGGGGGTTTCTCTGCGGGTGATTCGCTTGGAGGAGGCCTACAAACCGTTGTAAAATGTGCAATAATTTTGAAACTTGGTGAGTACATGCCTTGGAAAATGTGTAGGTAATTGGGTTACAGATGATGCTGAAATTGGTTTCCCTCTGTTGGGAGAGAGAGCTTGACACGACAGTCTATGTTTATATGTATTATTCCATATCACAGTGCGTAGAATTACGGACTGAAGGAAATAGCAGGAACCAGGCATGCACCAGGTCAGTGTTGCAAAGTGCACATGGTTGCCAAGTTTATTTTTTTTCAGTAAGTTATTGCATAATTTATGATTATTAACTTTGGGCCACTTCAAAGTGAATCATAATGTCTGCCTGTGTCCAGCTAAAGCTTTGTAATGTTTACAGGAAGCTGCGTCAGTTGGATATCAGCAGCGACGGTGGAGTGGATGGGAAGCCTGATGACACAGAACCAGTTACGTACTGCTTGCAGGCTCTTTTGGCTATTGAAGTACTTCTGAACCCGAGCTCTGACACACAGATGTTTGTCAATGAATTACTGATGGTCCAGAGATTAAAGGTAATGTCATTGGGTTTCTGCTTGTGAACAGTTTTGGAGTTATGAAGAGTTCTGTCTTCTGGGATATAACGCCATATAGTTCACTGAAAGTCATCTGATGTTTCAGAGGAACATGTTGCCCCCATCTTCACGGTTTAAGAATAAGGAAAGTAAAGAACCAGCATGAAGTAGGTAGTAAGCAGAGCTGCTTGGCTATGAGAACCAAATTAAGGGAAATTCTATGAAGGAAGCTTCATACCTTCTTTCAGGGAGTAGATGAGAGGTTTCTATGATTTAGGGAGGGGTCATCCTCCCTGTTCATGTAAATGGCATGTAGCTGTATCTCAGTCGGCTCCCCGATGATATGGCACATGTATCTGTATTTATCGGAGAGACTCGAGTCTTTTCTACAAATTAATGTTCGTTTGTTTCACACAGGGTTACAGCATGCCTCGTCTGTACTCGGAGGTTATGCGAGCTTGCCTCATCACTCTAAATGATGCGCTGGGAATGAGTATTGAATCACAGTGGGGTGCTTTCACATTCCTAAAAGTACCACACATTTTGCGGCAGCTACACTTCACCATTCGAGGTGAGCAGATCAGGTACACTTTGATCTTGAAGCAAGGCATTATACTGAGTTTGAGTTACTTTATGACTGATGGTCAGGAGAGGACGGGTCCGTCTTTTGTATAAGCTGCTGGCCCTTGCTCTTTCTCAGGTCCGAGTCTCTTGGGACTCGCGAACATAGTTTACTGTCTCAGATTTGAGACTTCCCTTTTTGTCGCCTCCTACGACTCGCAGGGTGACGGTGGAGGTATTCGATCCCGCCTCCTCACGGGGAAGGCATTGTACTGAAATCCGTTGGCCACTTTTAATTGTGGTCTGCTTGGGCCTGATGTAGTTTACATGAGGATGGTGTCCAGATACTCTATACTAGAATGTAACTGTATTGTATATCTTAAGGATGGGGTGTCTGATGAGATGTAGGTAAAAGGTATAAGATTGACACTACAGACTGTTGTGAGTCTTGGCTTTATTGTTAATATATACCTCCAATATCTATTCTTTGTTAGTGTCTAACGCAGCTGCTTTACCCCCAGTGAAAGAGCTCCTACTACCGATTGTGTAGGAGGCTGGATGGGTGCTGGAACCAGTTTAGATGCAATGGAAGGAAGAAACGTTTCAAGCCCTTCTGGTGATCAAACCTGGTTTTCCTGTCATCCAGCCTGTAGCCTAATAACTATACAGACTGAGCTGCTCAACTTTTAAGATGTGGGTGCATGTGGGGGGGAATAGAGATATTAAGATCTGTAATTTTTCTTTGAAACTCTTTTCACCTAACTGTATCATAACCCTCAGTCCATTGACATTGGTTTTTAAGTTGTGGTGTGAATTGTTTAATGCGCTGACTGTTTGACCAGCCAGTGATATATAATCAAGTTTAAGTTGTTATTCCTGTTTCCTTGTCACAGGAGGTGAAAATGGTGATAGACAACAAGAAAAGCTGGAGTTCTCGCAGGATGTGGTGGATGCATTAGAATTGCTGCTACAATACACACCGCTGTTGGACATCATGGATGCCAAGTGTTCGTGTAACTGTATAGAGTGTCTGCTCAAAGAACTTCTTAGGAACGGTTTGGTCACTGAGAGTCACGTTGCACACTTCACCAGTAAGAGGTGCGTCTTGCCACCAGCGCTCACTTTCCAGGATGAGAGGTACTTTATAACCGCGCATTTTTCAGTGTGCTGATTTTTGATGGAGTTGACTAGCATGCCAGAATATTATATTATTTAGCATGTTATGTTGTTTGAGGGAGTAGATCAAGATTCATATCAAATACAGTGGAATCCCCATGTGGTGATTCGAATCTCAGCAATGCTTCTGGCTGTCCTGATTTGGGTTTCTCATGATTTTCCCCAGTTCCTCCAGGAAAATGCTGGGCTAATACGTTGATTAGGCCACAAGCACTTACTTCCAAATTGTTTCTAATTTGTCATTCCTCCTACTATTTGATGCTGTATAGTCTAGATAGTGTCAGCATTAAATAGCCTACTTAAAAAAATAAAATATCTACTACCAGATCAGGGCTTTATGTATTTTCCTTAGTTCTTGGTTAGGTCCGATTCTTCAAGGCCCCCCCTCCTGCCCCCATTCAGTTAGTGGTCAGCATACATTCCTTAAAATTTTCCCCTCCTGTGTATTTAATACAGGAAGCATGTGGTAGCATGGTTGAGGCACTATGTTAAAAGCCGGAAGGTCACGGCTTCAGTTCCCAATGAGGTCATTGGATTTTTCAATTGACCTAATCCTTCCAGCTGCACTATGGCCCTTAGGTTGACTGACCCTCTAAGAAATGAGTACCAGGAATCTTCCTAGGGATAAATGGTGGCTGGCAGTTATGGCTGACAACCTCACTCCCATCTGTGAGTCAGCTGTCTATAAAATGTGAGATCCTCAATCTCTCACAACCCTATGGTACTCCATGGTCTATCCCAGTGATACTTTACTTTTTTTTTTACCTTTATGTATTTAATACAGGGAGGATTTTTACTTTGTTGACTGGTTTCACAGCGACTGGTGCACTGCCAGTTGTGAGGCCCATATGAATTTTACCAATGAGTCAGCATGCCTGACAGCTAATAACGTTTGGAATGAAGTAGTTACACTTCACAGATCACTGGAGGTGTTGAAAATGCTGTCCCTATACATGTAGATATGTTTTGCAATTAATTGTTTCATTAAAAAACACAGGTACAACAATCTTTGCATTTACAGCATATCAGACACCAACTTTCACTGGATGGAGCGGGACTTCATGGGTTAGATATGGATTCTGCGGACTCCAGTAGCGATTATTTTGCATATTTATATATCCCTGCAAGTGAAACCACACTTCATCAGAAAAGAATGCCAGTTGTGGATCAGTCTCACCTTTGATGACAGACTGTAGGAACCATCTGCTAAAATGAACCCTCTAGCTGGATCATACAGCTGCAAAATGTGTGTGGATTACTGTTGTCTTATAGGATCTAAGCTTCAGCAATTGTGTTGCTGTTCTTGCACTAGACTTTGACACTGCGGTCTCTTGAGCTAGACATTTCAGTGATTTGCTAGGTGTATGTTCAGGTCTGGCCCAAATGTCTTCTCACTTCTCTTCAGTAAGTACCTGGTGCTTATGTTTTTGTTTCTTGTATGTTAAGAGTCTCATTGTTCTAAGTCTATTCACCAATTTGTGAATTGTTTGTCTGCTGGGAACATCTTCATCACAAACTTACATCAAAATTTTCGCTGACACTTTCTAGCAGATCTGTATTTCACATAGGTGTCATACAGAAATACACATTGCTCTGAGTATACACCACACCGCTTACTAACTGTAACTGAGAACAAATGGTTAATGGAGTTGATAAGTGCTGCCTACTGATGAAAAATCATAAACTCTGATGCATTAACTTCACTACTTGCTGCAAAACATGATGTTGTCAAGTGGTCCACAAGTTAATTACATGCATTCATTCCAAACATTATCGGCCATCAGGCATGCTGATTCATTGCCAGAATCTGTATGCATGTCATGGCAAAGCACATTGGTCACCGTGAACCGGTCAACAAAGCTAAAAAAAACTCTGTATAATTTTATCCTTTTCAGTCATGGATCATGTTTCTCATGTGTACCTCACAACTTAAGAAGACACCACTGCTTGTTATATGTATATGTGTTTATCTTATGCTTTGTGTTAGAAGTGAAAGGTGTCCTGTTTGCATTTGCATAGCACAAATACATCACAATATATTAATTACATGCAGCTAAAATCTGTTATGGCTAAAGGAATAGAACTGTTTAGATTGCTGTAATTGTTCAGGCAACTATCTGCACTAGTATAAAAGTGCATGCTATGACATACGGCAGCTTATCTCATGAGCACACTCACTGTCTACTCAGTGGTTCACATTTTCTTTTGTATGACAGCAGAATCATGAGAGTGTTTTGCATAAGCATTTTGAATTTAGTAGAACTGAACGCTGATAAGTGAGTTAAATTTCTTAGAAAATTTTGTGGAACCCCCAAGGAAATTCAGTGATTTTAATGTTTTAATTTTTATGACACTGGTTTCGAAGCAGGGTATATGTTCTCCCACGAGGTACATCATGCTTCAGTAGGTGGTACTCATGATGTAGTTCATATAGTGTCAAATATGGGTCAGAAGAGGGTAAAAAGTCTTGACAGTTTTTTTCTTCCTACAAATTCATGTATCCATGGAGTCAATAGAGTTTGTTTACAATAAAAATATTTTGTATCTTGTTGCCTTTATATAATATATTGTAACACATAGTCTCTGAGCTAAAATTTAAGTTTATGTTTGAAAGTGGTACACAAAATCTAATTTGATACCAAGGGGTACATTGTCTGAAAAAGATCTGGAAACGGTGAACTGCGGCAAGTCTTGATTTCCTCAAGACTAACAGGTGCATAAGTATTAGTGGGTGACCCAAGTAATTTCATAAGTTTCCACCATTTTTATCCACATTAATGCTGCTAATCTGGAAAGCTTATGTGTTAAAAAACAAGACTTATAGCCTGAGCTTAGAATTTGCATCCAACAAGAAGTCCATATTGTCAGGCTTTGGGTTTTGTTCTCACGGACAAACTTCTGTAGTTCACTGATGTGGGCAACACGACAATAAAATTTTAAAAATATTTGGATCACCAATTAATATATAAGTAATGTAAACAATTTTGAACTGAAAAAGGGAGTAAAAAGTTATCCCTAATCTTGACACACTTTTGAAGCTTCTTGCTACAGATTTATGATGGAACCGATGTTGTGATAATGGAAGCTCATAGCATTGCATTTTCTGTCTAAATACACAGATTAAGGATTTCTGAGGTTGAAGTTATTTTGATGTTATGACTTTATAAATGTTGCAGATTTTTAATGAATGTGAAATTGAGTAGCTATTCAGTCTTTGAGATCCTCAAATATCTGGCATGCTGATAAATGCGCGGTAATATAGTAAAGTAACCTAACTGAATAATTAAATGTGAGACAAATGTAATGTGATAATCTTAGTAGGCAGAAAAATATGTATGGGACTGAAGTGGCATTTGCATGTCTGTGAAACCTAGAATAATATATTCTCTTGAAAATTACCAACATCACATCGTCTATCTTAAATTTTGTCTTCACGTTGTGCTGATTCTTTTTATTTATGTTCAGTGTAACCCCCATTTAATGTTCTTGATTTCAGGTTTAACTTGTTAATACTCACTTTCAGTGATCCCAAAAGAAACCAAACTGTATTTGTTCCAGTCTTTAGGATAATGCTTTGTCTTTCGGTATGCATTGCTCTGTTATATTCCACCCTTTTGAGGGCATGCATGTTTGTAGTCCAGCAGGATTATTGTCACGTTTTTCAATGCAAGTGTCATCCCCAAGTGAAAATCTGGCCACCAGCACCTATTCTATTAGGAGATTTAAATGCTTGTTTTTGGTTAATACTGTATCATGGCCATAATGCAGATCTTTTGTGTTTGTGTGCGTTGTGTCTCTGATATTGGTTGGTTAGATTAAAGATTTTTCACATGTCCTGTGAAAATATTAGATAAATAATTGCAGTAGCAGATGTTTTCTACATTTAGAGTATAATTTCAGAGGATAAGTCAACAGATATTTCCCACTCACTCATAGAGCAGAGCCCTTCTTGAGAAACCGCTGATTGTGCAGTTACCCAAAAACTTCCCAACATTTTATGGTACCAAGAAGTTCATTACTGTGTTAATAAGAGTCCTCCACTGGTCCCTAGCCTGAGGCAGATCAATCCAATCCAATCCATACCATCCCATCCTGTCTCTCTAAGATCCATTTTAATATTGTCCACTGAGCTATGTCTTGGTCTTCATAGTGTCTCTTTCATTCTGGCTTTCCCACCAATGTCCTATATGGATTCCTCCTCTCCCCATTCGTGCTACATGCCCTGCCCACCTCATCCTCTTCGACTTGATCATTGTAATTATACTTGGAGAACAGTACAAATTACGAAGCTCCTCATTATGCAGTTTTCTTTAACCTCCTGTCACTTCGTATATCTTCAGTCCAGATATTCTCCTCAACACCCTGTTTAACAGATATTGCTCATGTAAAAAAATCACTGGTGGAAACTGTATACTATTCCTTGTTTGCAAAGCTCATTAACTGTAGGGTGTCAAGCGTAAGGTACCAGATTTGCATTAATGTAGAGTAATTTTAAATTAAACATATGCAAATATTGTTATAAAATTCTCTAGAAGCTTTCCTTATTATGCTTCAATAACTTGACAGAATTTCAGCTGTGATTGAGAAAGGGTTAACAGACACCAAGTATGAGGGCTTGTAACCTTTTCACTGTCACATTTTTCAAGTTCTAACAAATTTTCCAGCCAGATTTCTTTTGTTGCAAATTTGTGTTTATATTGATATGAGCTGTGGGATTGTTGATGCTTGAAGAGACAGCCACCTATTAAACTTCTATAAAAACTCCGTGATTTCAGTCCACAAGCTAACTATACCGACTGAGCGACTGCCGCTTGTTGGCGAAGTTTAGTGCCAACATTTTGCGGATAGAGGGTGTCCCATTGTCAGCGCAACGAATCCCCACAGCCGTTAATTTCGGTTTTCTAGACCGGAGCCTCTATTTCCTTGAAATAGCTCAATTATAATCATGAGGCTGAGTGGACCCTGTTCCAGACCCACTACTACTCAGAAAAAATCTGGTAGCACAGGGAATCGAACCCGGACCTCTGGATCTATAGCCAGGAACGCTGACCACTAGACCACTGAGGCGCAGATATTTATTGTTGCTGTAATGAATGTATGGGCGAGCTTCTTACAGCCACTACAATACACTTCAGTATTCCAGTCTGTTGTGCTTTTGTTGTATCTCCGGTTGTTCCACCCTGTGTAGCTTAGGTGCTGACTGTAGGGAGATCACTGCTTTCTACAGTTCCATAACTATATTGTACCACTCTGTTTCCATGGAGACCTATTACTGAGTCATTGTGTAACGGAATATTTCCAAGCTGTGATCGATGACTAGCATGTGGGTGGTATGTTGTCACTAACAGCGTGTGAACCAGTGGGTGTTGGAGCTGCTGTGGTTTGCGCCTGTTCGCTAGTTCTTGATTCAGTGTGGGTGGCTCCCACACAGAATTTCATTGAAATTTTAATGGTAGGAAGTGCATTGTCTTTATCACATACATAGCTTGAATGTAGCACCAGAATTCAAATCTTTGCACTGCTCTCTTTCCTTCATTTTCGTAAAGTGTGCACTCCGTTGTGTAAGATTAAGGCATTTTGGCATCATGTCCCAAAAGTAATTTTAATACTTGCTACAGTGAGAACCTCAAATCTTATCTTTTTTTTTATTGCTAGTGGGGTGGGACTTTTTTTTATTGCTAGTGGGGTGGGACTAAGTCACTTGTACTGTGGCCACTTCTGGCCTATTGTACCAGCCCCAGATGATAGTTGAGGGTGATTGTGGCAAGGGAAACCGAAGTACTCGGAGAAAACGTGCCTCAGCGCTACTTTGTCCACCACAAATCCACTTGACCAGATGAGGGATCGAACCTGGGCTGCCGCGGTGGGAAACCAGCAACTAACCCCTTGAGCTGTGGTGTGGCCGAAATCTTATCTAAGTAATATTTTAAAATTTGGATGTAATCTCGAAGATAACACCACATCACAAAGATGATGTTTATGGACATAATCATTGTTTATTCTTACAAAAGATGCTGTACAATTTGGACAAAATTCTTCATTGTTTAGTTACATAACGATTTGTATGCCATAGGTCATTGAGATTGTCTTCATGTACTTGGGTTAAAACTGTCTCTTGGTATGGCATATCTGTCAATAGAAGGAACTAAGTGTGTTATATTGATGTTCAGAGGAAAGAACAGTCTTCCATGCTCTTTGCACCTCTGGTTATTCAAGTGTGATGTGTGAAAGTATTATGGGGTTTGTCTGTGGAACAGCATTTCTCTCCAAGTGGCCTTGGCACCTCTAGCAGGTGGTTTTGTGGTAGGGCATGACAGATGGCTATTGTTTAAACAAATGGTACCTTTATTTATTATTATTATTAGAGGGGGTGGGTTTCCCCATGCACTTAGACCAGTTATTGGTCCATTGTGCGTCCCCCTTTAATTTCTACTTTCGCCATACCCTAGCGGTACTGGTGTGTGCTATCAGCCCCATTTAGCCAACGAGGTCGGCCCTCGGTACCTGATATTTCCCCCATCTACCAGAGGCATTGGAAACTACTTGGGTGGGAAATGTGTTGCCTAATTTTGCTCAGAGGTCTCCTAGAGACATGAGGATCTTTTACGTGACGTAAATCTACAACACGGGACCCACGGCTCCCGGCTTCCTCCCAGAAGACTTGTTCCCTGAATTTTTCCGCCCTTAAAAATTCCACGACCTCCGCCGCGTTTGAACCCACGTACCTTGCTCCATATAAGATTTTTTTTGTGTTTAGAGACTGGGGTAGATATGGTATAGATATTAGAACAGTTGCGATAAAACATTTATCTGATGAACAGGGAAGCAGTAACTGCTACAGTACAGAAGCTGGACCAGGCAACCAGTCCAGCTTCGTCAATACCAAAAGTGATAGTGAGAGCAGAGCCGACACTGGCCAGGATACTGAAAACATTGGATGCAGACTATGTCAAGGTGCAGGTGAGATGCTGCAACTTATTACCTGATAATTTTATAATGAAGAATACATTTGCATTATCAGTGCATCTGTGTATCTCATTTGTGTGTGCCTGTTCTCCTAGTAACTTTTAAAGCATTGGGTATATTTTTATGAAACTTGGTATAAATATTGTGGCATATGGATCCATTGCTAGGCAACGCCTGCAAAACAAACAACAAAACAATGGCCATTGCTTTGCAACACCTCCATAAATATGCAGTAGTACTGGAGGGGTTGCTATGCAGCGGCCCGTGTGCAGCAGTAGAAATACTGTTGGAAGTGGTTTTTTATATGGGTCCACTCTAAGGCTATCGCACTCGACCAACCAAGTTGAGTTAGTGCAGGGCAGTGGTGTACAGAGAGTTGGTTGGTGAGTGAGTTAGCTAGCGGACTGCTGTGGTGAAGATGGTAGCTGCGGCACAGGGGCAGTTCAAGAGTCCAGAGGAAGGGGAACATCCACCATTGGACGCTGTTACCAGGCAATGAGTGGTGAAGACACAGCAGACTGAGAAGACTTAGCACATGCTGTAGTGAACTGCAGAGTATGTGAATTAGCGGTAGCGCTGTAGTTACAATCTGTAAGTGTTTAATATGTCAAATTACCAATCCAAATGCTGTCTGTAGTCACTCATACACGCAACAAGGGCTGTGCCATAGCTCAGGCGGTTCGTCACTGGCTTCCCACTTTGGCAGCCAGGCTTTGAGCCTGAGTCAGGTCATGTGGGATTTGTGGTGGAAAAAGTGGCACTGGGGTAGGTTTTTCCTGAGTACTTCAGTTTCCCCAGTCAATCTTCATTCCACCAATTGCTTCACAATCACCATCATCTATCATCTGGCGCTGGTACAATAGGCCAGTAGTGGCCGCAGTACCAAGTGGACTGAGTCTCACCTCACTACACGTGACAATATCATGCCATTTGAGGCTGTTCCATCTTTGTGCTTTATAAAACTATACTGCTGTACTGTCTGTGTTTCTGTACCTGTGCCATTGATTTGGTTGAGGGTGTTTATGGATTACATGGATATGGATTATGCTCACTTTGCTGTATATATTTTTTGATATCTGTTGTAGTAGTTTTTCTATTAGTAGCAGCAGCGGTGGCAGGGATGGCTCAGTCAGTATAGCAACAGGCTACAGACTGGACAGCCAGGGATTGCTTCGTGGCAGTGGCAAGAGATTTTGTTCTTTTCTACAGTGTCCAATCCAGCTCTGGGGCCCACCCAACCTCTAGTCCAATGGCTGTTGGGGGCTCTTTCCCCAGGGGGTAAAGCGGCCGGGGCGTGAAGCTGACCGCTCACCTGCATATTTTTCTGAGATCAAGAATGGTGGAGCAATGCCTCTTGTTCCCATATATCTTCATGGGATGGTGCTTAATTATTAAGGACAGAGGCTTTACTTTTATTCCCTATTTACTGCTAGTAGTTCATATATAGAAATGACAGATGACAAGGGTACTTTTGTGTGTTTGTGTGCACGCCCTCCCCTTATTTTGATGCACATTAATTTGCAGCTGGTAGGACTGAGGTTGGTGATGACAGTGGTTGTGTGCTCTAAGGCATGCTCTGTTTTCTACCTCTCAAATAACACTGAAATCATGGCTTCAAATGTATGTTTGCGTTGCCCTGTCTTGTGACAGGCCAATTACCCATCCTAGAGTCCTATCAAATGTCCATAAATAAGATTGTGAAGCCTGGAAAATTGGAGACCTTGGACAGCAGTGTTCTGTTATGCCGTGAAGGAGTGACGAAACCCACGAGGAAGGGAAGGGTTCAGTTGGTTTGTATGAATGTTGCAGGAAGCACTTCTCAGCGTACTTTGCCAGGTGCTGACAGGAAAGAGCTTCGAACTGATCCTGGCTGTAGCTGCTGTAGAGGGGAAGCTGCGGACATTTGTGACTAAGCTGCTGAAATTCAACGAGTGCAGTAAGCAGATTGGAGGAGAGGGAGGGAAGGCTTCGCAAACGAGGGCCCTGCTGTTTGATGTTACCTTCCTGATGCTGTGCTCCATTGTTCACACATATGGCCCAGAGGTGAGCCAGTCTTATTCAGGTGGGTTTATTTTATCTTTCTGAATTACCGCCAGATTATATCCTCATGTCAGTGCCACAGTGGGTGTCATTTTTATAAGATGGCCCAGATTCACCCCCTTCAGGAATAAGCCAGTTTTCTTTTTGCTGGATATGAAGTTCCTACAGTGGTGATTGAGATTAGTCCAGTAAAGTTCACTCACAGAAAATAGTACTAGTATTTCAGTTTTCTTTTTCAGTGCACCTCTTGAACACTGGGATTGCGAGGTCATATTTGCAGAGTGTGGATATGTTTCCACATTTTTTTGAGTTGCCCTTACTTTTCTTGTGTGCATAAGCCTTCTGGTAGGTTGATCCCTGTCAAAAGAATCCTACCAAATACAGCAAAAATCTGAATTTAATGTTTCAGCATCAGTGAAATCCTGTATCTGATGGACTATTTTTCTTCTTGTCCCAACCAAAGCTAAATATAAATGCTATGTAGGATTTGAGGTTCTCACAGTGGTGGTTATGAAGAGTTCTATCTTCTGATTCTGAATCTTTAAGATTTTCCTCAATTTAATGACCAAATCCAGTGATTCCCAAAGAAAACTTCAGTATGCAGTGTGATGTGCTACTCTCCGACAACATTGTCTCATTAACAGTGAAGTATCAGAGTATGGTGGAGTTTATGTCAATTGTGATATTTCAGAGAGAGATTGTGTGATGATTCACAGGTCGTGTTGTCTGAAGAAGGGGGTGATTCCTTCTTTGAGCAGTGGGTCAGGGAGTGCATGGTGGAACGTGGACGACCCAAGTCGCCTGACCAAATGTTGCAACATTGTGACCCTGCTAGGGTTGATGCCCTTCTTGCTCAGTTCAACTCTGCTGATGGGGATTTTAAAACTAGGTACTTCTTGTTAATTTGTCCCTTTTCATTACAAGATATTGCATAAATACAGCGAAACTCTCTTGTAACTAGACAGGTTTACTGTGTTCTTCAGGTCACTGATACAGAGGCTGTGGAAGGAAGTCCCATGGATAGTGGGGATGATGCCTCTTGAGGTTTCTGACTTCCCTTCTAATGTTGAATCCTTTTCCGGTACCCTCTGGCCTAAGGCAGCCATAATTCTTTGCCATTAGTAATACCAACATTATCGTGAACAGAATGGCTGTGACTGGCAGGGAAATGTTAACAGTTTGAGGGAGATGTTGAGGGATTTTTTCATGAGACTTTTTTCTGTGGCCTCACCATAGCAAAGGTTGTCACTCCCAATATTTGTTTGAACGGAACATCTATAGACAACTGGAGGGGAGTGTTGAGCAGTGGAGGGGGAGATATAACAGTTCAAGAGAGGTGTGGAGAGGGTCGATCAGTAGGTTTTCTTTCTTTGGGCTGAGTGTGTTGTAATTCTTAGGACGGTGAAGTGTAGGAGGCTATGATGGGTTGGGAAAGTGGCCAGGATGGGAGAAACAAGTAATGCTTATAGGCTTTTGATGCGGAAACTGTAGGTCATGGAACACTGATGAGGAGACTAATATTAAGATGAGGTTTGGGAATGTGCATTTTATGTGTCATAAATAAATAAATAGATAAATAAATAATACCTCTTATGTTCCAGCCAAGTTAAGTGGCATGAAGTGTGTCTCCATGTCCCAGCTGCCATCAGGGAGGTGTTACTAGCGTGGGAGCATGGCGCAGTCACAGCGAACGATGTGAAACGAATCCTTGATGCTATGAGATCACGGATGTGCTGCCTTCCGGTCTGTGCAGCTGCATGGCTCTGCAGCTACATGCAGGTTTCTAATTCACTGATTCACAATTTTCCTAGGAACGTATGTTCAGGTTTTTCTTTTTCTAATCATCTGACATCTTTACTGAAAAATATTGTATGAAACTTTCACAGATCATTCTGCACGCTCACAAAATTTATCACACTAAAACATGTTCCATGTGATGTTCCCAAAGATCTTGAACCATCATGGCCATAGATCCGTGTTCATCCCATAGCCTCATGTAGTTATTGCTAACAGATGTGACATGGTAAGTGAAAAATACGTTCAGTGTGATAAAAGAATGTCTGCCAGGAAAGTTGCAAAATTTTAGGTTCGTCTCACGTAGTCTCTCTCTCAACACACTAGAGTTTAACCGCATGCATTTTTCACTTGTCAGCCATTTCTTTTCCAAGTAATTAAATTTTACATGAGAGTATTATGTTTTACTATGTTAGGGCAGAACCCTATTAATTTTACCACTACTTAGTAAAAGCCAGGATAGCTCAGTTGATATAACAGTGGGCTCTGAGCTGGACAGTTGGGGTTTGATTCACGGCAGGGACAAAAGATTATTGTCTACCCAGTCCCCTGTCCAGTCGGTACTTGGGGAATCTTTCTGCTGGGGTAAAATGGCCATAGCATGAAGCTGACCACTCACCCATATAACTTCATCTTTCTTTTTTACTCTCCGCTGAGTAAGCAAGGAGGTAAATAATCAGTATATGTATGTATATAATTAGGTAACAAAGTCCACAGAGCAGGGTTCATCTACAGAACCTGATACATCAAATAGACTTGAAAGGATTCTGACAATGGTGTATGCTGTAGAGAACTATTAGGCTTATTTTGGACTCTATCCATCGACTGGTATATATGAGAAAAAACCACAACGTTTCGGAGACTGGATCTGTCTCCATCCTCAGGTGGATGGGGCAGGATAGACCTCCTCAGTTGGCCCAATTAGAAAGAGCTAGTCTCAATCACGGGACACACCCTGGGCCCTGACTGTTGATACTGAGTTGGATTTGAGGTTTCCAGAGTGGGGACTATGAAGGGTATTGTTTTCTGGAATGTGACATGTTATAGTCTGGCAGAAATTCACAGGTGTTCTTCCAGAATGTAAGTAAACCTCTACTGTTGTATGCAGGTCACATCCTAGAAGATAGTACTCTTCATCCTGATTGAGTTTATCATGGCTTTCTTCAGTCGTTCTAGGTAACTGCTGGAGTAGCAACTTAATTTAGGCCATAGCTACTTTGTTACACACTATTTATAATTTATTATTCGCTGTACTCCAGTTGTTCAGTAATATGTAATCTGTGCTGCTGGCAGCATCGTTAAATAAAGTACAAGTAGAAGCTGACAGTTGAAAACTTAGTCAAAGCTCTGGAAGTTCATTACTTCATTTACGAGAATTTACCATGTAACCATGTCTATATATGTTCTTTAGTTGTTATGATTTTTTAAAAATGAAGTCTGTTTTTCACAGGTATGCATGTCTTGGTGTGTTACTGTAAAATGTGCAACTTGACTTCTTCACAAGGCACAATGGTTGACGTTGCAGATTCTGCACCAGGACGCACTGCTCAAGCCGCTGAACATGGTGCAGCAGTTCCTAACTCCTCTGTCAAATGAAGATATGTCACAGCAGGACAACTTCAAGGAGAGGCAAGTGTCCTTCAGTGGGGAGACAGTGTAAACCCTGTTTTCAGAATTTTAATTTTATCAAATTTAGGTATGTGAGAGAGTGGACTGGATACATGTGGCTCCTGATAGAGACCAGTTGCAGAGTCTTACGAATACAATAACGAACCTTATGAACGGGACAGGATTTCTTGTCTAGATGGGTTACTGTTAGCTTAGGCAGGATTCTGCTTCATTGAGTTAGGTCATGGGGGGGGGGACCCAGTTTTTTGTTATATTCTGTCATTATTATGGGTCCTTGCTATATTAATTGGTGTGCTGTTCCATAACCATCTGATGTGTACCTAGAGTGAAAGGTTCAGTTAGGGTTTGTTTGGGAATTAGTGGATATGAACACAACCGAGGTTAACGTTAAATGAATGTAATTTAACGCCGGGATTATTGACTTTGGATCACTGGAATTGAACATTAAATGAACGAAAAGCTTAAATCAGAGAACAGTGATTAAGGGGTCCACTGTATGAATGTATGTAACTTTACCTCACCTGGTTTTAGAGTGTAATTTAACTGAATTTGAGTGTTCTCCCACAGGTCAGGCCTGATGTTCCAGATAATTCGCAAGATGCAGTATGATGTGCATCCACCAACCCAGTCAAAGGTCAAGGTGATGACATTGTCTCACAGGTATTATTATTATTATTTTTGTTTTGCTTATTCTTAGTGGGGTGAGACTTAGTCCACTTGGTGCTGTGGCCACTACTGGCATATTGTACCAGCCCTAGATGTTGATAGTAGAGCAATTGGTGGAATGAAAATTGGCGAGGGAAATCGAAGAACTCAGAGAAAACCTGCCCAGTTGCTTCTTTGTCCACCACAAATCCCACATGACCAGACCTGGGCTCAAAACCGGGCTGCCACATTGGAAAGCCAGCAACTAACCACTTGAACTATGGCGCATCCTGCCTCACTAGTAAGTAGCAACACAAAATGACCATCCATATTATCACTTGTTACCTGTTTGTAGTTCTGACATATCATTTAGTAGATGTATGAACTTCTGTTCAATAAAGAACCTCAGAGAAGATTTTGTGTATACTTTAGTTGAAGTTATTTATAGAGTGTATAAATTACTGAGACTGTTATTTTTATTTGTAGTGACGAGTTATAAATGTCCAGTAAATCCAATTATCAATCTAAACCCTGTGTCTGATGACTAATGCATGACAATACTAAAATGTATCTCAAGTAGAGTGTGACATGGAGTCAATTTATTTAGCTTAGAATAGGGATCAGTGGTAACGTATTGTGGACATGGTAATGATTCTTCAGATTCCATGGAGATGGGAAATGTTTTACCAGTGAGTGACTGTTCCGTGGAGTAAGTCAGAGAGAGTACTGTTGTAAGATCCCTGTTTAATGACTCACTTGCAGGTGTGGCATTTCTTGCATTAAATTGAGGTTTTCACTAAATGTAGGTTATGGAATATTGCAGCTAGGAACTGTTTGATTGTGCAGGAAGAATTTCATTGGCAGAGAGAAAACTTGAATATTCATTGTCTGTATGAAGTCACACTAGATCAAGGTACAAGCTCTGAAAGGTCACATTTCTTACACTGAATAAAAACTGACTAAATTCAGCTAAAATAATACATATGTCAGTATATAACACAACGCGTTGCACCGATAAGGATCCATATCACTATTTCAATGACTATGTGTATTCCTGTGTATATCTGCCTGGTGATGGTCTTATGCGATTGAAACATGTAGCAGCAATAGAGATCGAAATTAAAAACTGAGTATTTGTTGTGTTGACGGTGACATAATTCCTATAATACATCATCTATACAAGGCTTACTCAGACCAGAAAAAAATATTAACTAATATGGGAAGTTACTAAATCAGGATTTTATATGGTTACAGCACTGAAGCCATAACCAGGTATGTCCAATGTTAACTGTTTTCAGCATCATCTCACGGCAGCCAATCAGTGAGCAGCTTGATTCTGTGTGGGCAGCGATTCAACAGAGGGGTTGGGTTAACATTGAGGCAACTCACTCCCTTGAGAGCCTGCTCAACACTGGTGGTTCGCAGTGGTTTGTTACGAATTTGGTGAAAGTGAGTTCCTTGTTATGCACAGCTTGCCATGTCACAGATATATTGCTGAATTTATTTTTTATTTATGATGTATATAATGATGCTGTCAGTAGCCTGAACTAAGCGGCCTCTGTAGTCTAGGGGTAACATTCTCACCTCATGACTCAAGGTACGCAGGTTCAAACCCGGCGGAGGGAACAAGTCCTCCAGGAGGGACTTTAAGCTGTGTGTCCCATGTCGTAGATTTATGGCACGTAAAAGATCCTCATGTCTCTAGGAGACCTCTGAGCAAAATTAGGCAAAGTTTCCCACCCAAGTAGTTTCCAATTCCTCCAGTAGATGGGGAAGTATCGGGGACCACTGCCAGAGAGGGCCGACCTCGCTGGCAGAACAGAGCTGATAGTGAGCACCAGTACTGGAAGGGCATGGCAACTAGTAGAATAATTAAAGGGGGACGCACAGTAGATCAACAAATGGTCGCAGTGCATGGGGAAACCCACTGAGGAAAAGCATGACGAATTCATCCAAGGTAGTCAGTTTCTTGGCCACAATTTCAGCTAAGTACCCCTTGAATACAGGTCAGACACATTACTGCTTCAGTAATCTTGTTTAATAAGTTTCCTTCAAGTAGCTGGTCAAGACAGGAGATTAAGTCAGCTGTTTATGCATGAACAGGGGCATGTGATAATGTGGTTAATTGAGGCACATGCTACAAGCTGGAAGGTTGTGGGTTTGATTCCCGATGAGGTCACCGGCTTTTTCAGTTGACCTAACCCTTCCAGCCTCACCATGGCCCTGGGCTCGACTCAGCCTCTAACAGAAATGAGTACCAGGAATCTTCCCGGGGGTAAAGGGCGGCCAGCATGCAAGGCTGGCAGCCTTGCTACTATCTGTGAGCCGATTATCTAGAAAATGTGAGAGCTGCAACATCTCACAACCTTATGGGTCTCCACAATCTGTTACAGGGTTAGCTTTACCTTTTTATTTATGCATGAATTATGTGCTGAAATGTGGTAACTGAGTAAAGGCATTAATGCCCGTGACTGAGATGTGTTCAGGATTGATTGGGCAGATGTGGATATATGAGATTCAGGTCTTCATGAAGATGGGAAGTTAGGTTGTGGTCTTGTGACACTGTTCAGCCCTGTAAATGGTTATCTTCATTTTGGTGGGTCAAACTTCCTCTGCCTTGAGTGCAGAGAATGATATGTCTGTATCCACCTGTATGTGATACGGCACANTTCTACCCTGAAGATGGAGGCGATACGTTCCTCCGAAACGTCGGTTAACACCACTTATACACGGTGCCAAATCCCAAAAGACTGCTTTCTTCATAGTCACCCCCGTGAAAGCCTCAAATCTTACACAGTATTTTATCTCAGACCACACTCTTAAGAAAATGAAGTTGAATACATCAGCTAGTTGAACTGAGTATACTTTCATATCTTTTTTCTCTCTTTTTTCTACCCCCTCCTCAACATAATTTTCACATTATACTTGTCAGTGGGCAGAATATCCCCAGTCTCTTCTTTTTCTCCCGTATTCCTTTCATTTCAGATTTTTGACATTTTTTTTCCTTTTCTTCATGTCTTCAAATACTTGGTTGAACCATCTTCTCCTAGGTCATCCCACGGGTTTCTTTCATTAAAAATTTAATTCCATTGGCCTTGATATCCTTGTCTTAGCCATTCTCCCTTACATGGTCAGATAATTGTAACTGTTTTCCTTCTAACTTTATTAATAGATTTTGGTCACTGACTCCTCTAAAAATGTCATTTTTAATTTTATGCATTCTTGTTTTTCCCTCAGTGATATTTCTGTGTGTTAATAGGAAGTGTTGAAGTTCAGATACCAGGAGGATCTGGACCGAGCAGTTGACCTGGCATTTGGCGTGTTCCACTTAGACATTGAACATTGCACACTTGCTCTTCTGCTGCAAGTGTTGCCTCAGTACCTGTATAACCGACTGCAGTGAGTATCGGCTTCATACTAATTCTATGGGGCACAACCCTTTTTTAATAATTTAATGTTGTAGGTTGATGAGAGGCTCTAGTAACCTAAAGATGAATAGGTATGGTGCATTTTCATGAGGAATCCAATATCTCTACTGATTCATTTCTTCATTTTTCCTTCTCCCATTATAGCGTAGTCGGTATAGCTACTGGCTACGGCCTGAACAATTGAGGGGTTGGAGTTCGAGTCCCGATAGGGTCAAGAATTTTCTCCATATTGTCCAGACCGACTCTGGGGTCCACCCAAACCTCATAGTCAGTGGGTACTAGGGGCTGTTTCCCCAGGAATAAAGCGGCCGAGGCGTGAAACTGACCACTCACCTTCAACTAGTGCTGAGGTCAAGTTGTCACGTGTTGGGTATGTCACGCGACAAATAACTTTATGTGGGTCTTGGGTTTAGCGAATCTTTATTGAACATTCACTCTTACACACTGTACAATTGTTATCACTTCAACTGTATTCTGCGGCAGCTATCTTCTAACTGTCCCTGACCGTGGCTGGATCCCAACTGTCTTCAGCGACGGCTATCCCAATACTGACTCGACGAATGCGTTACCTTGTTATATATCCGCGGCCATTGCTATGCAGTGAACCTTCTGTTGTCTATCACCGGGGAAACGCTGATTCAGTGATTCTTCAATTCCTACGCAGCGGCCCACTGTTATTGCGTATTGTGGATATATACATTCACTCCCCTATACACCTTCATGGTTTAGTGCTTAATTAGTTGAGCACAGGGACAACTTTACCTTTTACCCATTTTCTTTCACCCCTTCTTTTTATCTTCTATCTGCTTATTCTTTTGTCATTATGTTTCTCCTTGTTTGTCCTCTCCTCCTTTCATCATCATATACAGGTCGTACCAATATTCACATGGAAGGCACATTGATGTACTGTTAACAGTTGTGACTTGTGTTTAGAAGGTGCTCAGTTTGAATATTGGCCAGAACATGGTGGTCCTGGCTGAGGATTCACATGGTTTTCCTAGTCTCTACTGGCAAGTGTCAGGACTGCTTCTTTCCAAGCCCTTTGCAATTATTTATCAGTCATCTTGCCTTTCACTGCAGTAGAGTTTGAATATTGGAAGCTTTGTAGAATAACCCACAGAAAAAGACTGCACTTCTCCTGTTTCCTTCCAGTTCATTATTTGCTGATGATTTTATATGATGCTATACAATCGTATCACCTAGGAGTGCCTTTAATTGCATGAAGAATGAACAAAATGAGCTGTGGAAATGTGGCAGATAGTGACTGTTAGCACGTTTCAGGAGTGAAGAGTTGGTGGAGCCGCAAGCATCTGCCCTGGCAAAGCTGTGTGCATACTGTGTGTTTGCTGCATTAGAATTCCAGAACAATGCCACACCTGGTCACGTGAATAGCCGCAAAAGAAGTCGCCGAGACTTGGAAGGAGAGGTACACTCTGTTACTGTAGTTTACCTTACATCTATTCAAGATGTGATGTTCTTACAGCGGTGGCTGGGATGTGATATCCATACAGTCTGGTAGGTACTGATGTTCTGAAGGAATGTGCTGCCTCTGTCTTCATGATGGAAGGTGGAAGCAGTAGGTTCCTCTCAAATGTTTGTAATTGTCTACCACATGATATGGCATCACATGCCAGGAGACAGTCTATTTTTCTGTGAGCTCAGGTTTGAACACAGTACTTGTCAAATTCAAGCCACGAATACTGCCTCTCTGTTCAGTTTGGCCATAATACTGTCATGTGTAGGATGGTACGCGTGATGAAAATGATGGGTTCTAATCTGGATGATTGGATTTATTGGCACCTTGGTTACAAACTCTCTTAATCACACTTAAATACAGGAAATACAGTGCTATCGCTGATTTACACACACTTGATAATTCACTGTTGTATGCACACTAAGATTCCCTGTCTTCACTGGTCTCCTGGCAACGGGTCTCAACACAGAAACTATAACAGTCTCACTGGATCACACATTCCCAGTATTACACATAAACACAGATTTAAAATCATGCTTTAAGTCTTGACAGGTCTTCTATGAACTTTCCGTGCATGTCTCCTATGTATAACTCAGCTAAACTGAACTGCTGGCATTCTCCTTATATAGCCTCTGCACAGACCATGCACAGAAAACACAATTACTACTCAGCAATGGATATCATGTATTGTTGTCAGGTGTGTCCACCCATGCATTGCCCAGCAATTGGTGCCCTATTGTGCATTCGTTGCTGTGATATGTGTTTACCGGTCTGTTACCTAGCAATGGACACCCTTCTGTTGTTGGATGCTCATGTTTACATATTCGTAATCTCAGGGTAATAGGTTGTAAAGATAGCAGATGGGAATATTAGAGTAACTTATTTAAAGAACACAAGATTCATGCAGTGGCATATTTCTGCTCAGTAATTTATAACACTTGTTCTGCAGGATCTGGAAGGTCTCTGTCCATCGAGCAAGCTGCTGCGGTTGTCATCTGGCGTGACAGAGGCAGCTGACACTGCAGCCCTCTTTGGAACAACTGCGTCCAGCAGTCAGAACTCAAACCAACCGTACAGCAACAGTAATCAGCCAGTCACAATCAAGGAGCCATTACAGAAGGCACTAAATGATCTGTTTCATACATTCACGGTGATAGCAGGGAGAGACGGGGAAATCTCTCAGCAGACTCATTTTGTGTGCAAGTTTCTTCAGTTTGTAGTACGTTGTGGCCGTGATAGGACACGGCTGGTGCTTCAGGGCATGCCAAACACATTGGTATGTGAAATTTATTAATTTGTTTGAGAAGGGCAGATGTGTGTTGTAAGGTTATTGACTGACATGATTTCAGCTACAGATATGAAATGAGACAGGAAAATGTTCATTAATCCCTTCAGACTATGGTCACACTAACGCAACCAGCCTGTGTATGTCCTGTATGGGCTGTACACATGCGAGAGCTCTGTAAGAAGTCTCTTTGTTTGTGGAGTGTATCGGTCATATGGTACCTGTTGTTTTGGTTGAAAGGTAACAGTAGTTATTTACACATATAGAGTGATATACCATGGACACTGCACCAAGTACAAGTGCACATGGTAGTCAGATGATATTTCAGGTCTCAAACCAGGCTGTTGATGAAGTGTGCGAGATTCTACAAACCTGCAAACCGGAGCAAAGTGACATAGGACTCTCAGATAGATATATCCAGATACTGACAGGGAACCAGAAGTCTGTAGACACGAAATGATGATGTTGAGGTTGTAACCTGTTTTGCTATAGGAAAGAAAACTTCCAAAGAAAATCTATTTCTTTCCAAGCTAAGTTGGGGTAATAACACTAATTTCATTCCAACAGTATATGAGTGGTGGCACTCAGTTGTTTGAGGCACTATGCTACAAGCCAGAAGATCATGGGTTCGTTTCTCGATGAGGTATTTGGAATTTTCAATTGATGTAATCCTTCCGGCCATTCTATGGCCCTGGGGTTGACTCAGCTTGTAACAGAAATGATTACCAGGAATGTTCCTGATGGTAAGGGCCAGCTGGCATGTAAGGCTGGTGTCACTGCCGTCTGTGAGCTGATTATGTAGAAAATGTGGGAGCCTCTATGTGTCACAACCCTATGGTCCTCAGCCTGTTAGAGGGATGGCTTTACCTTTTTTTTTTTTACCATTATCCGGGTTTGACGCCTCAAGGTCAGGTGTCAAGCCTGGTACAGTTACTGAACTGGACTATTTCCAGACTGCTTGTCATATTGTGGATGTCCTTACAACAGAGACCAGTAGATATGCACATCAGGTGATACTGTAATGCATATAGCTAGGCAACGACACGCTCAACAATAGGACGAATGTTTATAGCTCGTTGCTGGTACAGTTACTGAACTGGACTATTTCCAGACTGCTTGTCATATTGTGGATGTCCTTACAACAGAGACCAGTAGATATGCACATCAGGTGATACTGTAATGCATATAGCTAGGCAACGGCACGCTCAACAATATGACGAATGTTTATAGCTTGTTGCTAGGCAACATTCAGTGCACCAATGGACTGGTGAGGTAGCTATCACGTGACTCATGAATCTGACTTATATTTTGAGATTTCTTTTGCCACTGCCCTGAGCGAACCTGCCCTATATACACTTCAAACATTCAAAGTACCAAATCTCATATCCATTTTCTTTCACCTAGGTCATTTATCCAAGGAATCTGTCCACATCAGAAACTTCTTTTTTATCTTTCATAACAAGCTTATTTTTTATGATGAGTTGTTAGCCCCATTCCCAACATCCAAGCTGGAGGACCACTCCTTGTCAGCTGTCCGCGACTGCCTATTCAATATACTTGTAGCTACCCACCACATCAGTGCAGGTGGAAGGATTAGGTAAATTGAAAAAGAAAAATCCACCTCATCAGGACTCAAACTCGCAACCTTCCAGCTTGTAGCATAGTACATCAACCATCTATGGTACCATGTGCCCATTTTTTTCCAATGTAGTTACTGCTTTCTCTTATTGCTTTCAACATCCAGTGACTCTAGGAGGGCAGTTTGTGAATGTCAGTACTTTCTATCATAAAAGTCTAGTCTAAAGAGCTAGAATATCTCAAACCATACTAAACTGAACTGACTGTATGTAGCCAGTGCTTGAGTAACTGTTCACCAGTCCTTCAAATGACTGAGTCATTCAGCATGTTATTCAGTGTGGTGAAACCTTGTGATGTGATACTGGTGTTAGCTTTCCTTTATTTGTAGTGGAGGCACTTGCAAGTGACCTTTAGCCCTGTCAGTAAACATTCACATGGAAATGAGACTAAACAGGGGCATAAGGTCCAGTGATACAAAACACTCCCAATGAAGTTTTAGAAAGATGGTGTTACACTTTGTGAAATATTTCTTTCATACTCTATGTAATATTTTTCAGTCTGTGTTTCCAAAGCACACATTATTTTAGAAAACATTAACATGCATCCAAAACAAATAGCAGGTGATTATTTCTGTAAGTTGTACAGCACGTACTTTTAGTGTGAAACAGGATAAAATGTAGGAAGAATGAGTGATGCTTTTTGAGCTGACATTTATTGAATAAATTTCAAACAAAAAAACTAGCTGAAATATTAACTTTCTGTCTAAACAGTGATTCATGACATTTAAAAGGGTTGAAAAACTCAAGCCATGGGGAGTGTCTGAGAATTGAAATCCCCATAGTCAAGGGGGTTAATTAGGTATACCAAACCTTCTCATTACATTTGTGACAAAAAACAAGGCCACTGAATGGAAAAATCTTCAGTTGATATTTTTCCCCTCTCTGATTTTGAGTCTTCTATGATGCCAAACAGTAAATTTAAAAAAGTAACTGATAACTTGTATACATATTATATAATGTGAGGAGTAGTATTTGGAGCTGGGATAGTGTAGTCAGTAGAGCAGCTGGCTACGGGCTGGACAACTGAGCTGTTAGAGTTTGAGTCCCTATAGGGTTAAGAATTTTCTGTTCCCCACATTGTCCAGGCCAGTCCTGGGGTTGACCCAACCTCCTCTCCAATGGGTACTGTGGGCTCTTTCCCCGGAGGTAAAGTGGCCTGGGCGTGAAGCTGACCATTCACCTCCAGATACTGTCTATGTCAAGAAAATGTTGATCTATACATCCACTCCCCCGTATGCCTTCATGGTTAAGCACAGGGGGAACTTTACCTCATAAGGAGTAGTATATTGTATGTCCTGTATGGTAGGTAATGGTAAATAGGCCAGTGCAGTGTATTTACAGCAGCTTGTATAGGCATCTTTGCTCTTGTGGAGTAGCAACTTTTGTTATTGATGTTGTCTGAGTTGTGCCACCACGTATCCTTTTGGAACATATTTGATTTTCTGGAGAAACCTGCACCCTTAATCTTCTGTCCTGAAGATACGGACAGTAGGTTGCTCTGAAATGTTGCCTAACATCCTACCGGAGTACACGGAAATGCATCACTGTCATGAGAACCTCAGATGTCTCGTGAGTAAGATTTTTGTCTGGTGAACATTTATTGATTCCTACATAGGATTTGATGTTCTCACAGCGGTGGTCATAAAGAGTTCTGTCTTCTGGTATATAATGCTGTATAGTCCCTTGAAAGTCGGCCAGCATTTTGTAGGAATGCTGCCTCCATCTTCAGGGTTGAAGTTTAAGCAGAGCTTGCCACCTGCTTTGTGCTGATTTCTTGTTTGCCTTACTCTTTGACCCTGAATATGGAGGTGCCTGTTCCACTGAAATGTCAATGGCCTTTCAGCATAATGCACAGCATTGTATCATAGAAAGCAGTACTCCTTGCTTGTTGATCCCTAGTTGTGAATGGTGAGGAGGTAAAATTTCAAAGGTGTGAGAAAACAAACAATTTTCATTTGGAATAGTTGGCTAGTTACTGTACAGATTTTAAGGATTTTGTGAATATTATTAGCTTTGTAAGATTTGAGGCTTTCACGGCGGTGACTATGAAGAAAGCAGTCTTCTGGGATTTGGCACAGTGTATATGTGGTGTTAACCGACGTTTCAGAAGAACGTATCACCTCCATCTTCAGGGTAGAAGGAAAAATATAAGAAATCCACAAGCGAACAGACCGTGAGGACCAGTAAAAGTAGACTGCTTTTACCGGTTCTCACGGTCTGTTCGCTTGCGGATCTCTTATATTTTTCCTTCTACCCTTAAGATGGAGGCGATACGTTCCTCTGAAACGTCGGTTAACACCACATATACACGGTGCCAAATCCCAGAAGACTGCTTTCTTCATTATTAGCTTTGCTTGTAGCTCAGGTGATTACATGCCAGTTGCTTTGTGCGGAGACCCAGGTTCTGTTCCATGTTAATGTGTAAGAGTACTCAGAATTACTGGGTTTTTGGACTTTGTCCATCATCTGGTATTCTAAAAAACTAGAGGACATGAAATCAAAGACCCAGTCATTCTGAGTGTTATACACCATTGTCAGAACCCTTTAGAATCTACTTATAAGACTACTGTTTTTTTTTTCTGTGTTTGTTTCAGGTCCCATGTCTGTTGCGTTCCTTGCCTGATTTATTCACAATGGATCTGCTACTCAAACTGTATGACATAAATACAGTGGCTGGACGCAAAGCAACGGCTAGGGATCTCTGCATGTTACGTAACATGAACTTGAAGATGTCCATGAAAGATGTTCTGTGAACTGTTATCATTGTTTGTGCATTTTGATATAATCTTTATCAGATTTACTCATTCTTTGAGGTTAATTCTTTAACTTCAAACCTAATATCTGAATCTGGATATTAATTATGGTGTAACATGTTAACTGTCACAGACTGTATATTTTTCAAAATTTCATATTTGGCTTTGGAGGGATTTTGAAAAATCAGCCAGTAAAAACTATTTGTATGTATTATACATGCCTATTTCATTTCTGCTTAATACATTTGCTTACAGTATTCAAGCCTGGTTACTTACTGGCGCTTTGTCCAGACTACCATATTCACCAACGATGTTAGCTCAGGGGATAGTACATCTGACTTATGTTCATGAGATTCCCAGTTTGAATCTTAGCTTGGACACTGACTATCTTGGCTAAAGTTTATAGAGATTTTCCTCGGCTCCTCCAGGCAAATGCCAGGACAATACCTGAAATATGGCCACACCTGCTTCCACATCCTTTCCAGTTCATTATCCACTAGCTTTTCCTCTATTTGACACTACATTCTGAGTTATTGTTAGCGTCATTAAGTAAATCAAAATAAAATATTACCACATTTGACCCAGGTCAGATTGTAACACGTCATCACAAGAGAATATTTCTTTCAGAGCACACTTTAAGTGATAATCTTCTGCTGTTACTAGACGATGCATTTGCAATTCATTACTCATATGGAGCTCATTTTCTGTTCATTTTGCTGTGAAATCTTGCAAAGCGCTAGTGTACTGTTAAAGTAGCCAGCAACAGAGCTCTTGCGATCACAAACAAACAAACCCTGTGGTTTTAGTCCACACGCGAACCATACTGACCAAGCAACCATCACTTGTCGGCAAAGTTAGTGCCAACTTTAGCAGATAGAGGGTGTCTCGTGGTAAGTACAATGAATCCACATGGCTGTTAATTTCGGTTTTCTAGACCAGAGCTGCTATTTCCTTGAAATAGCTCCTCGGTTATCATCACGAGGCTGACTGGACCCCGTTCCAGACTCACTACTTCTCAGAAAAATTCTGGTAGCACTGGGAATCGAACCTGGACAATCATGACAAGCTGCCAGAACATGATAAACATTACAGCATTAAGGTTTTGTGTCCATGAGCATTGGTGATGTTCTGCTTTTTGTGAACCATTGATCAGTCATGTGGCTGTGTTGAAACAGCCACATGTTCAGTCCCAGGTATATGAATCCTGTAGCTTGGCCATTTCGCAAAGACTGAATTGCCATTTTAGATAGAATAAAATTTCTTGTATTTCAATACCTGCTGTTGGGGAGGAGAAAGAACAGAAGACTATCTTCTGTGGTATCTACGACATTGTACAGTACCAGTTGCATGTATCAACATAGGAAAGAAATGATAAGAGATTTGAGCCAAAATGTAATATGATTCCATGCAGCTGGGTGATTGCTGTGTTGCAATGTAAAGGTCTGCGGTAGACCTTGTTGATTGTCATGACATGGGTATAGGATCTGCAGCAGATGGGCGGCAGCTGTTAGTCAAACTAAAGTGTTTGCAGTAGCCTCTGGTGACTGCTGTGGCACTAGGTAAGAGATCTTAAGTAGACATTGGTGGCAGGATATGGATAGGGATATGGAACAATACAATACATTACAATCAGAAAATAAGACAAAATTCTTTTACCGGCTTGGTATCAGTTTCAAAAGGAATACACAATGCAATTATTTAATTATGGTCAACAAATTCCATAATTAATTAAAATTCTGATGAACTTAACAAATAGTTCACAGATACCATGAATGACATGAGCTCTGAGATTTTCATGGCAGTGAATATGAAGATACTGTCATGGGTAGTATGTAGCATATGTGGTCTAGCAGGGCTGGATTTGAGGGGGAGTGATTGGGGTGGTCATGCAGGTGTCTCCACAAAAGATATAGAATCCACCTACTTTACTGAATCATTTGCTTCTAAAAATCATGAAAAGTTAGGTAGTATGTTTACTAATAATAAATAATTACAGAAATAAAATATAAATTTGTTACTGGTAGGAGCCTCCACATTTTGATTGCCCTGCAGCCCGCAGAACTGTATATACGGCCCAAAATATGGTAGGTAGGTACCAACATTTTGGGGGAACCAGCAGCCTTTCTCTTTATTTTTTTTCATTCCAAAGATGAAGGCAGTGAGTTCCCCTAACATGTGTACCAGACTACAGAAGGCCCTAATTTCATAACTACTCATTTCACGTTAGTTATATATATTAAAGTGTCCAATTTTTTGTTAGATGAAATAGTAACTTAAATTGTTATATTTTTTAGACCTAGATCCGTTTTGCACAAAGCCCCTTTCAATTGTACGGAAATGAAGTTTATACACAAAACCACTTGCCTAACTCTGCTGGCAGTTTGCCTACCAAGTGAGGCTGCTGTTGGATTCGTATGTTCGGTTCACGGACCGCATTAACGTGAAGGGAACAAAGAAGCAGAGTTGGTGATCGTCCAACAGTTTCAGAGCTCTGATATATCATCTGTACTTGGCGTATAAAATCTGTGCGCTTCGAGTGCAGCATATGGCGATAAAAAAAACCTGATGTTTCCGTTGAATGGCGATAAAAAAACCTGATGTTTCCGTTGAATGGCGATAAAATGAGAAAATATAACACGTGACAAGTACAGCAGTATCTGTCACAAGAGCAAACGATATTTTCCGTAGTGTTGTTTCTGGGTGGCCGTACCAACTGTACCGGCATTTTGTCGAGAGTAAATCTGTGTTTCGTACGGTTCTCGGAATAAACAGTATTAAACAGCTGGTCTTTCTAGTGGAGACGCAGGGTGTATCGGGGTGTATTATGTAAGGTAAGAACTGAACCTTTAACTGTTATTTTCAGTAGCTGTATGCTTCAAAGGGCGAAGAGTCTGGAGTACTGTACACGCTTAAATCTCGAACCTAACCCCAAACCAACCCTAATCATTCTATTAGAAGTGCTGCCCGTTATTTTCTAGTGCTGTTACACACAGCTGAGAGTCATTCGCTTAGCTAAGCGACGTAAATTTCGAATCAATAAAAGTCTTTAAATAACCTTCATGATATCTTCTTACGATAGTTTTTAACCTACTTCCTGTCCTTAAAAAAAGGGGAAACGCCATATGAAGATCGCCGTGCTAGTTTGTCACCGCGTTTTAATTTTTCTGGACTATCTGTTCGTCGATTTGCAAGGAACTTGGTTCGACACTGTGTAATGTAGCTATGGAAACCATTGTTAAATAACCTACAAGTAAGTTAACAGACTTTGTAAGGATGTTGTCATTATAACTAACCCCAAGTCCGTACTACATAATTTTCTACAACCAGTATTAATAACATGGCGCACAAGAGAACGCGTGAGGTAGGAAGGGCACTAGCGCCGTTTACTTCATGTTTTTGAAAAGATGTATGATCAGAGATCTTAAAAACAATATATATATATATATATATAAAAGTAAAGGTATCCCTGTAACAGGTCGTGGAGGCCCATAGGGTTGTGAGATGTTGAGGTTCCCACATTAGACAATCGGCTCAAAGGTGGCGGTAAGGTTGTCAGCCTTACGCGCCAGCCGTCCTTTATCCCGAAGAACATTCAAAGAGTATTCCTGGTACTCATTTCTGTTAGAGGCTGAGTCGATCCCAGGGCCATAGTGCGGCTTGAAGGATTAGGTAAATTGAAAAAACGCCAATGATCTCATCGGGATTCGATCCCGCGACCTTCTGGCTTGAAGCATAGTGTCTCAACTGACTACGCTACCGCGTGCTCCCAATACAGGATGTCCCAGGAGTTTGGTGCCATACTTCAGGAGCGTACTGAGGATTCCCTATAGAGCAACTTATGTCCGCAAACCTAAAATAGCAGCGCTAGGGCGGCATATAAAATCATTTCGTTTAAACTTGGCGCCTCAATGTGGAACAGCATGCAGAGGAATATTACCCCCTCCAAACTGTGCTCACTCCAGCTGATGGTTTTCCCGAGCTAACTAGTGTTGTTTTGGTAACTGAAAGGAAAGTGTGTCTGCTAGACTGTTCTTTGTTTACATTCACTCACTTCTGCAATGGCGGAAGGCTACATGTTCGCAGAGCTCAGAGACACGCATTATCTCCATGGTGTGGTTGATGGAAATGCACGAAAAGCGGAGAGATTGTACAGGGAAAGATTTCCCAAAGAAGACATCCCTCTCGGAAAATGTTTGTGAGCATTCACCAGCGACTAGGTGAAACTGGGTCTCTGCGTGCACAAAATCATGCGGGATGCTCAAGATATGCTCGAACCATTGATGCAGAAGAGGCAGTACTGCATTACATAGAGGAGCACCCATCCACCAGCACTCGTGCCATTGCCAAGACTGTGGGGATATCAAAATCAAGTGTTTGGAGGATCCTGCACAACCAACAGCTTTATCCGTATCATCCAACGCGAGTACACAACGTAGGTCCAGCTGACTTCATACCACGAGTTCAATTTTGTCAGTGGGTACTGAACCACTGTTTACATCAGCCCAGCTTCCTGAATGTGTTACTCACAGACGAAGCGCAGTTTATAAGGGCTGGCTGGTTCAACTGTCGAAACAGCCACGTTTGGGATGACGAAAACCCCAACGTTACTGTAGTGGGTTACGATCAGGCGCAATTTTCTGTCAATGTCTGGGCGGTCATCGATCACTTAATTGGGCCTTTCCTCCTACCACCGCGACTCAATGGGCCATTTTACAAGGTGTTACTGGAACGTATCCTTCCGACTTTGCTAGAAGACGTGCCACTGATTGTGCAGAGGCAAATGTGGATACAGCATGACGGAGCGCCGACACACTTCAGCATTGTATCATGAGACTACCTGCATACTGCTTTTCATGGTCGTTTGATAGGAAGAGGAGGCCCAGTGCCTTGGCCACCCCGATCCCCAGACTTGACACCTCTGGACTATTTTGTCTGGGGCCATGTGAAAAGCCTGATCTACGCCACGCCTGTGGATAATGAATTCGAGCTGTTGGCCAGAATACTTGTTGCATGTGACGTGATCCGTAAGACACCTGGAATATTTGAAAGGGTACGTCAAAGCAGTAGGTCTGCCTCCAAACAAATTATCCAGTTTCCTCCGGCCGGTCAAAAACAGCCTGGGACTAAGGACACCGGGTGAACACAGTATCCCATGCGAGTACGGCAAAGTCTGTATTGGACAGACGGGCCGCTCCGTGGACATGAGGTTGAAAGAGCATCAGCGGCACATCCGTCTCGAACATTGGGACAAGTTGGCCGTAGCTGAACACAGCATCGACCTGGGACACCGCATTCAGTTTCAGAATACCTCCATCCTCGCCACCAAGACCCGCTATATGGATCGCATCATTACGGAAGCCATTGAGATCGAACTGCATCCCGAAAATATGAACAGTGAGNCATAATATCATATACAAAACCCTGCTTCTGTTTCCAGCCCCTTCACCCCTCCCGCTCCACTGATTTCCCATGTAGACTTTCCCCCCCCTCTTCAGTGCTCCCACTTAGCTGTGTTTATTTCGAACACCAGTCTGCTTGTACCGGTTCTCACGGTCTCATCGCTTGCGGATTATTTATTTTTCCTTCTACCCTGAAGACGGAGGCGATACGTTCCTCCGAAACGTCGGTTAACGCCACATCTACACGGTGCCACATCCCAGAAGACTGCTTTCTTCATATAAAATGTGTGTTTATTGTTATTATTTAGAACTTCTTATTACATATTATTTGTGTTTACTCGGTTAGATTGCAGCTTTATGACAGAAACAGAGAGAGGCTGGTTTAGCGGTGCACTTGTATTTGGAGGTATTCTGTTCGAATCTCGGCAGGGGATTAGGCTATCCTAAAGTTCGTGGTTTTCTTCAGCCCTTCCAGGCAAATAGTGAGGAGGCATCTTGGGTAGAGCAGGACCGTTTCGCTCCGTGTCCTTTCCAATTCACCAGTCATGCATCAGCCCTACTATTCGACGCTATAGGCGTCCTAAAATAGCAGACAAGAACGAAAATAATAGTACGTTTACTGTATTATATAGTTACGCAGTAGTTTTCTCATGATAGGGAGGGGAGAAGGGCGTCCGGGACGGTTGCCCCCGGGGCCTCCACAAAACAGAACTAGAATCCATAGACATTTTCTTCTCTAGGATCTCGAGAAGTTCGTTTGTATTTTGAATTGTTATAAGAAACAAGAAACAAAGAAAATAATCGTCGTAAAAATTAGTTGTTACTGATAGAGACCAGGGGGCACGGGGTAGCGTAGATGGTTGAACCGGAAGGTCGCAGGTTCGATTCCCAATGAGGCGGATTTTTTCAACTGACCTAATCCTTCCAACCGCACTATGGTCCTGGGGTCGACTCAGCCTCTAACAGAAATGAATACCATGAATATTCCTGGGGGGTAAAGTACGGCCAGAGCGTAAGGCTGACAACCTCACCGCCATCTATGAGCCGATTGTCTAGAGAATGTGGGAGCCTCAACGTCTCACAACCCTATGGGCCTCCATGGCCTGTTACGTGGATAGCTTTTACTGATAGAGACCTCCACATTATGATTGACCCACAACTTTAAATCCGGCATTGGTGATTCTTCGTTACTCTTTCGTTTCTTCCTCTCCAATGACAACAAGAACGTGAATTGAATAACAACAAGATCGAGACGTCAAGGGCGGTTACAAGTTTCTGTAAATGTCTCCATTTCACCTGCCATAGCAACGCGTTAGGTAAATCGTAATGGCGGAGGGCCATTCCTCATTCTGCAGCGTCATCCCCGGCGAGCTGTACGCTGATACCAGCAGCCCTACGGTTATACTATGTATATACTGCAGAGCCTAGGCGGAGTTTGGGTTATCAGCTTGCTGCTTTACATGACTTGACGTAAGATATTTTAACTACGTTTCTTAAGGTTAGTATACGCCAGAGAACATTTTTTTCATCTAATATGCGTTATATACTACTCAGTAAAATATTTACTGTATTTTTTTCCCATAAGTGCTCGGTAGATTCTCGCTGTTATACTGATTATGATTTGTGTCATTCTGGTCCGTCACACTAACAATATCATGAAGAGTTAAACAGTTCCGTCTAGTGTGACTGGTGAAGATTTTTCTTCTTTCAGTTATTTATGCCCTTACATGTTTCGGTCTTCAGAGACCATCATCAGAGGTACACCTTTACATCAATACAGTTGGAAGTTACTATTACAATATATGTTCTGAACGTTAAAATATATACATACAATATTAATAATATACAATTGGGTATAAAATCTAAAGTCTTTACAACCACAGCGGCTGTTCCAATACATTAAAATACTTGTAATTGGTTTGTTAAGACTCTGTTGGAATTCGTAAACCAAGCAGGTTCGTGTCGTCCCTCTTATTTCTCTTGACGGGGGCCGAAAGTGTGCCCCCTTGTTCTCGAGAAAGGGGTTCTTTGATGTTGTCTTGTTTGTATTTGTGGCGCGCCACTTTGGGCACGAGTTCCATGTACCAAACCAAGGAGAAACTTCCATATCAGTATGTATCCGTACATATTTAATTTGTGAGTTATAACTGAAAGAGTACATTTATAATAAGTGCCCAGAATGCACGCCTCGACAAGTCTCATCTTGGACCGCAGCATCCGTTCAAAGATGCCGAGGTAGTTGCATGCGATGAAGTGGCTCATCGTTGTCAATAGGAGCTGCATACACAAGGGCTTTTAGGTGTCCCCATGGGTAAAAATCCAACGGGATTAAAATCTGGAGGGCGTGGAGGCCATGCAGTGGGTCTTCCTCTCTCGCACAAATTAAAAACAGAAAAAACTCCGCGGCCTTCATTTCGCAAGCGAACTATACC